TGGTAGCAGCAAAATTAGAAGCACCAAATGAATTTGAATTTTTTACGATTTTAAATTTACATTCCAATTTCTGTTTACATTCTTCTTTATCAAAATATACACCAACAAAAAAGGTAATGTTTCAATAATTTTAGAAATGTTTGATTGAAAAATGTTTTTTCTTTCTATCTGCATAGATTGCTCAGATCACATCTTCCCATAGACTTCATTGTAACTTATTCAATTACAGTTATTCAAAAATTCATGAACTGGTTCTCCATATCATCAAAAATTAGGAATAAATCCCCAAAAAAAAAAAAAAAAAATTCTGGACTTCAAGATAAAGAATTATGTAGCTGTGCAAAAGAAAACCACACCAAATGTATCTGACATTTTGGCATCAAAAGGACCCCAAAAGCAAAGGAAAATTACAAGTTTTGCTATACTGTGCACATATGACAGAGAATATACAGTACATGCACTTCAAAAATAAGAAACCCAAAATTAATCTGTTTTTGATGATAAATTTTAGTAAATGTTATCATGAAATTAATTTTTATTTTTGTGAATATTTGAATAGATCAATATGTTCAAGGAATATCCAATTAAATTTTGAAGAATAAAAATTTCCCATTTTTATACACAATGTTGGAAAAATGTTAGTATTATAAGACACTGCCCGGATGTTGATGCAGGTTTTTCAAAGTTTCAAGTTTTCCCAAGTCCAATTGTCCGTATATGTCAGGCTGTTATCTGTAATGCCCAACCCACTATTATCTGCAGTGCGACAAAGAAAACCCCAAAAATAAGGTTTGCAAAAAAAAACGGCGCTATATACATTCAGAAAATGTCTGACTCAACATGGGCCTGGTAAATCACGGCTCAAGGCTACCGTAAAGAGTGAGTAAATGATAGAACCCCATGCAACATAACGGTGTGAGTCAAATAAGTAGCCAAGTTCTGGCGCCGGTAAAATTGAAGCGTTCTTATATTCCGCTCACGTCTCAAGGGCGATTTCCAGCAATGGCAACGTCTCAGCCACGCCCAAGTCCGCGGAGGGAGAACCCGCTTTTATGACTGCTGTCCAGGCGCCGTACACACACATCCAAGTCCCAGGAACGAACATTTCTACCAAATATTTCAACACTTTCAAACCGTGCACATCTTATTTAACGTGGTTGCGAATGTCAGAGAAAACTTTCTCTCACCTGGCTGTTCCAATTTACAGTTGACGCCTCTCCAAAATCAAAAATAAACTCGCCAAAAGGACTCCAGAACCATTGGAGTCCCTGATTTTGTGTGTATTTCCACCAAAATGGTCAGAACTTGTGCAGGTAGTGCCTCGCAATTCAACCCTGATCTGCTGCAGAACTAGGGTCAAATTTGAAATAAGTCAAATTTCAAGACACACCATTAAATTCAAAATACAGTTTGAGTACAAAACCACAACAACAAAATGGAAAAAGCAGGTTGAATTGCAGGGCAAGGGTCAATTTGCAAGTCAACCTTCCTGCAAATTTTAACATCAAATTGCAGGAGGCCAAATTGCGAGGTACAACCTGTATTTGAAAAAATCCTTGATTGTGAAAAAAATTACGGTACTTATTGGAGTATTCCATCCTGATGCCTGTTACAGCGTATTATTTTTCCATACTTCCAATTTTCAACCCATCAGGTTCAAATATAAATTTTAGCTGAACAAGGATTCACTAGCCTGCTGATGATTTGTTTCATCCTCTGGATCAAAAGGATTTAATGTTTCCACAAGCTTCTATAAAAAAAGATACAAAGTTTATGCACCTTTCTGTACTAGCTTAATCTAGAGCAGTGCTACCCAACCTTTTTTGGGTCACAGACTAGCAAATTTCAATATAATTTTTTGTGGACCCACAAATTTCCAAAAAATGTTTTGCTGACCAGCAAAGTTTCATACAATTTTTTGCAGACTCAAAAAGGATTAGTTTGAATGACTAGGTACTGTACAGTACAGTATAGGCAGGTACAGTATTTAAAAATAAAATTTCTGATTTTTTTGCAAAAATTAAGTCAAGAACTAATTAAGCAGTCATAGTGGAATGTCTCCAAAAAATTAGAAAGGTTCTTCAGAATAAAAAAAATCAAAACAATGTACAGTATTTCAGCAGGTGAACATTTGTCCAAAGTGAGTTCAGGAGGGAAAAAACTTATATTTTTCATCAGATAATCTCAACTGATTGCCTTTCCAAATTTTCAAATGAAAAAGACAGACATCATTGCAACTTTTGATCCAAAGAAAATTTCATGAAGACTGGCAAAAAACTTCCGTGGAATGGCACCGGTCCATAACACACATGCAAACTCTAGAAAATAAATCATCTTTGTAAGTCTCAAACTAACTCATTTCACCCATGATATTCCTTGGACATACACCTCAAGGATTTTTTTGAGAAGAAGTAAGTAACCAATTTTTCCACCATAAAAGAATGATTTACTGACGCATCACTTTCATCAAAATACACCTTGATTTATGGATCACAATTACGTGGACCGTTTCAGAACCCCGGAAAAAGCGGGGAAATCGCACTCAATCAGGAATCGGTTGCCCACCAGATTATAATCAGGCATCATATCGAATCAAATGGAAAATTTCTACATCATGACATCATCGAATAAATTATTCAACAAATCAGCAAGTGCATGTACAATTGAGTGATTTTTGAAGTTAGCGATGAGCTGCATCAGAGGACGTAAAAAAAATTTTCGCCGACTTCAGCAAAGTGGACAACTCAAGAAACCAACGGGATTCCCGAATACTGTGACGGGCTTTTCGTTGATTATTTTTGCCAAAAAAATCCCCCGGGGTCTCATCACACTGGGGGGATATTATCAACGTGAAAATTGAATAAGGTTCGAATTTTTCAGAGGCCTTATTGTCTCGTGGGATCTCTATCCACCAATCTGAAAGGTTTGAAAACTCACATAAGATGAGTTGGCTATGAATTCGTTTTCTCTCAAGGACGAACATTCCATTCACAACGAAGTCTTGCTTTTTTCGCTATTATGACAGATGTATTCTGGTTTCTAGACCAAAATTAATCTCTGAATAAATTTCAATGAAATAAGAGGGAGGAAGAAATTACGAAAATGACAATTTATCATCACAATGAAAGTAAACCTGTCTCGTGCCTTTCATTTTAAAATTACTGTTTCGGTTGACCAGCTATTCCTTTAAAATTTCAGGAATCCCTTTGATCCGATCGTAAATCTATAATCCACGCTAGTCTCAGTTATTCCACTGATTGGGGCTCATTCGCTGGATTAAACTTACGCAGTAAACCCACGTTAGAATAAAATCCCTGAGACTTGTGAAAAAAGTTCGTTGCCAAAAAATTCTCCGTAATAAGACATGTCATTCAGTTTTATTGAGATTCACGGTTCGTGGAGCATTCAGGACTGAAATTTTGCGCAAAACAAATAATTGCTTCACAGTTTTATGTTTGAAGAACTTTCATAATTTTAAAATCTTTCTGACGAAATAATGGAGACCAAGTGAAAATTCAATTATTTTGGAGCTTTCCTTGCTTGAATTTAATAAAAACTCATACTTCCTGCAATGATGCTAAATTTTCCGAACAGAAAGATTAGAACTTATATTTGGGTGGTATGGTTTATAACCCATTTTCGTGCAAATTATTAAAAAGTCCTATGGCTCATGCACACATTATGAAAGCTAAAATTCTTATACTGAGATTACTGCTGAAATTACAGTAGTTTGTTTTAACGCGATTTTTATAGCCTTGTTCCTACACAGGAACTGCCACGACCATGAAAAGAATTCTTCATAACGAGATTCGTTGTTACAGAATTCTACTCTGGTATAGCCATTCCCCGTTGTAATTGAGAAGGACGTTCTGAGGCGCACTGAATGAGTACGTCAAATTATCAGGGTAATACTGCGAGGCGAAATAATTTCGAAGATTGGAGAATCTTCAAGAAAAAAGCAAGATTCATCTCGGAATGAGTATGAAACGTTACAAGAAAATTGCTTCACACAGTTAATAGAATCACGGGACGGTCGAATATATATAGCATCAATTGTTTCCCGAGGCTTTCAACTCCTCTAGCTTGACTTTCAGCACCGCGTTTTCAGCACGCATCTCGGCGAAATCGCGCTGAATGCCCTCCAAATTAGACACGACATTCTTCGCTTTGTCTTCCTCCACTTGGTCCTCCAAATCCCGGATTTCCCTCGTCATGGAGCCAATTTCCCGCACGGTAGAAATCAACATGTCGTAACCTTCGCGGATGGCAGCCAGGCTCTTATACGCTCTGCGATTCATCTCATCTTTTTTGGCATCCTAAACAACATTTTTTGAATAGAAATTTCAGTAAAAAATGGTCATTAAATTATTATTTAAATTCTGTCGCATCGTCATTTAGAGCCAGCATAAAATACAGACAGCAGGATCTCGTTAAATCAATCTCGATACAGGTGGATTCACTCTACAACGATTTTTTCTTTATAGTTTATACCGAATATTTTTGGCCCCAAGTGCTTCCCTCCCCATGCTATAGGGATTCTCTGCAACGAAATTCTCTCTACAACGAAAATTTCTGGTCCCTTGAATTTCTTAGTAGAGAGAGTCCACCTGAATAACGAATTATCGCTTACAACAGAGTCGTTCTTCAGGTCCCTACCCAATAGCCACAATATTGAATGAGTTACTTCACAGCAACTTTTTCTTCACAACGACGCGATTTTAATGGACCCCAATGGCTTCGCTGTATTGAGACTTTACTGTAAATAGAATAGTGCTTGAAAACTTGGGAAAGCCTTTTTACTGATGAGTGGTGAGCCAAGGACTGAAAATGAGAACCAAATGAAATTGACCTCAGCTCATTATTATTTCAATTATTTTTGAAGTCCTCGTTTAGGTTTTAGGACATACCCTGATTCGAACAGCAGCTCACAATTTTTTAAAATCTTTCTAAATACACCATGTAATACTGAATCATAAAACCAACAACAGTGAATTTCAAGGGCGGCAAACGGTCCATAAACGTTGGTGTTACACAAGACCGTCAATAAATTCACGAAAGCTCCAACAAAATTGCATTGAAAAAACAGGAGAAAAAATTTCTCGCGAAAAATTACGGAGTTTGATTCAATACTGAAGAAGATAATATTCATTTGAAAATTCTTCGGCGTGCGTGAGCATTACAAGAACCCCACGGAAACCGTGAATTACCTTGAAAACGAGTTCGTCGGCACTCGTGAATGACCGATCAAGTTTCCCTTCCAGAAGGTTAATGGATTTCTGGAGAGACCGAGTATCCTCGAGAACTTTGTCGATCCCTTTGCACTGCTTCTTTATGCTGTTGACCACTTCAAGGATACGCTGAGTGTAAACAGACCGATCAGCTTCTTTCGAACGAACTTTCGTGCTCGAGATAATCCGCTCAATTTGAGCAGTTTTCACTCGCGTATCGTTTTCCAACAATTTCACTCGCTCCTCAAGCGCCACCAGTTCATCTTTCAAAACGTCGGAGCTCTCCTGAAAAAAAAAAGAGGACGGCATCAGGGAAACCGGAGAAAAACACATTCCACATCACTGTTAAATTTTCAATCGATACGGCTGCAAAAAGAAGATAATTATCACAGCGGTGTTATTCTATTTCTTTACCCTTCAACGCCCAATGGCCCTTCGGTATTTCGTCGAATGCAAGACCCACATTGATTAAAAAGACACCTTTTCTACGCGACTTAAAATTAGAACCATTTGGCCCGTGAATTCCAGAAGCACTTTCGTCACATTCCATTTCTTCAGGATCAGATAATTTTGTTGATTCTACTTGTATATCAGTTAACAGATCATTTTTTGTCAGAATAACAGATACTGTCTCATTATTTGAACTCAAGAAAACGGAAAATGATACTTCGGGTTTGTTGAAGCTGAATTCAGGGCTCATTTTCATTTAAGAAATGGGCATCGATCACGAGCAGTCATGCAAATATCTTGCGAATCGAAAAATCTATAAAATATGATTTTAAAAAAATTGAAAATAGAAAGCATTAAGATTTTTTTCAAGTCAATTTCTGCAGAAAAAGCGTGTTTTACTAGGACTAATTGTAGTGAATAATGTGTTGTATAGAGGTTTCGCCTGAATTCTGACGAAATTTTCATTTTCATTCGGTGAATGTTAGGTCAGGTAACATTAGTTCAGTTTAATTCGGGCTCCAGAATTGCTTAGTTCAGGCGGCATTTGATTAAAAGTTATTTTTCCGGTTTCAATTATTCACCTGCCTGATACAATACTGCATTACAATATTTTTTAACTGACTCTAAACCCTTTTTTGAGTTGAGTTGAAAACATCCGCATGAATAACAGATACAGTATTATATGAAGGAAAGGTTACAGCGAATTACTCACTTGTTCTTTCAGCCAATCATTGCGAAGGTCTTCAATTTTCTTTGTCATGGCAAGCTTTCTTTCATTCCACGACTGTTCCGCCTCATGTAATTTTTCACCAGCGAGCTATTGAAAATGAAAAAAAAGTTGAACGATAAAAAAAAAATTCCAAACGAGATTTATGAAAACGCAAATGTTCACCTTATTCACGGCGATCAATTTCTCCACATTTTTCGGAGCATCGGGAAGAAAATCAAAGGCTCGTTTCTTGACTAAGTATTCTTTTTTCGTGGTTTCCATTTCGGCTCGATCAGTCAAGATGACGTCATTCGCTTGCTTAACCTTGCCTTCAAGCTTTATAATTTCCTTTTCAATTTTCCTCAATGACTCTTCAACCGCTTCAATCTCATTTCGCAGTTCGCTTTTCTCTTCTTCTTCTCGTAATAATTCCTCTTCTCGAAGAACTTCGGGTTTCGCAGGATTCTGCAACCAAGACAAACCAAATCAAATCTCATAAATGGACGACACAAAAAGTTTCGATTTACACATCACACTCGCCTCTCGTTGGGAAACAATATCAAAGTTGGCAACAACGTCGGGACAGCGAAACGCATCAATATTTCGTGACGCGTCGATTCTGCAATCGGACAATTCTTGACGAAGCAGACCTGTCACTCTTTTTTGATTCCTCAACTTTTTGGCTGAGTTTCGCTCAACGTCTCGAGACGCTTTGCACAAGGCGTAGGCGCTTATCAACGTCGGCAAAAGGTGGCGTTTATCAACAGTAAGCTTTTCACAGGTCGCGGAATAACCTGCATAAAATTAAGCAATACAGTACTAATAATTAATAAACAAATAGGAAGGAAATACAATTTAAAAATCACTGCTCCAACTGACAAACCTTCCGTCCTAGACAAATGCAGTTCGTCGGGGCAGAACTTCATGACATTCGGTGCTTTTCGACAATACCATGGGATCCAAGGGATGGTCAGGGACTTGTTCAATGCGGCTTTGACTTGTGTCATGACACTGGATTTCCTCTCACCTGTTGGACGAAAGTTTGAATACAAGAAGCCTTCGAAGTAAAGCACTTGCATTTTTGCTATATGTACTGTACTTTCATCTTCTCAGACAAAACTAATGCCACTTGAAACGCGAGTGAGACTACCAGTAACCTCTCCACAAATTTAGAGACTCGGAAAAGAGAGTTATGGGCAAAGCAGAAAAATATATCCCTGTGGTAAATCAGACAAACGCCAAGCAAATCTTCAAAAGAAAAGGCTCAAATTTAGAATGCTTCTTTCATTTTGTCTGCAGGTTTTCTTCCTCCCTTGTTGTGCCAAATTTTATGTTGGCAGAATGGTTGCCCAGAAAATGAACAAAGAGTTGACTTGAATTTTAATCAGCCCCTTTCTGGACACGCAGAAAATAATAGAAGTAAAATCCCCAGAACTAGGGTGAGCAAGACCAGTCAAAGACAAGACAAAAAAGAAAGGAAAAACTCCTTCTTTCCAAAAAAATAAAAGTTTCAACTGGGGTCCCATGACTATCTCTAGTAGAGAAAAACAGGGCTTGAAACACCTGCTGCTGGTGAAACTGCCCTGAAGTATTTTTGGGAGTTACAGTATACAGTGTTGAAAAATGTGTTGTAACGGTATTTGTTGTAACAAGATTTTACTGTATACAATTTGAATCTAAATGGTTCTTGAAACCTGAGACATTTTTGAGTAGTTAAAATCTTGTGACTCCCCCAGAAAAAGAGGACATCTTTTACTGCCAAAATTTAATAGCACCATGTTGTGAATTTGAAAAACATGAACACCTGGTCACTGGGGAAAAATACATGTCCTAAAATTTGTGAAACAGCAAAATAATTTGCCAACTCAACACCCACCACCACCTGATGTTTTGAACTCAACAAATCCTACCACCTGGGTATTTTTCAGCTAAAACCTCAACCAAAGAGGGAGCAAAAATTGCATAAAACCCCCAACATTTTTGGTGCAACAGACAGTCAGAATCAGGCAGTTGAAGCTTTTGCTTTGTGATTTTATTTTGTTGTTGTCATTTAATTTTCTCAAGAAAATCCTCAGATTTGCGTGACTTGTACAAAGCTTGAGTCCAGTCTTTGAATAATTAGTCTTACATTTTTTGTGAGTTCAAATTGTGTTCTATATTGCGCGTCATTGCTTTTTGAAAAATTGTGTTTTTTTAATTTCTTGAGAACAAAGGAAGGTCAGTGGCCTTGGGGAGGGACTTGGGGAGGGACAGGACTTGGTTGCGCAACAACCAAGTCCTGTGTTTCAATTCTCACCTGATTTTCTTGTTCTGACTTCTGCGAATAATTTTCAAATTGTCAAGGTGCACAGCTTGAAAAATTGTCTTCTTATAATTTAAAACCCTACACTTGTGAAAATGATCAACCAGAAAAATACCTTGGCTCATACAGTACTCGAGTGAAACATGTTAGTTACACGCGACCGATCCAACAACAATGATAATTACAGGAAGTTTTAAACATTTTACAGTACAATATTCGTTTTTAAAAATGCATGTCCAAAATTAGAAGAAAAAAATCTAGCATTTTCAGGACAACCACAATAAGAGATCGACATCAGAGAGGAGGAAAGACAAATTTTTCGTTTTCCGGGTACGGGATGCCTGGCGCCTGGGAATTGGGAGGAAAATTGTTCAATCCCCAGCACAACGATTATTTTCTGTTGAGGTGGAAAACCGTGAAATCTTTAGGAAACAATCATCCCCTGTCCATCGTCTGTTCAATTAATAGCTCATGAATTACAGTAGGATTTGTTCGAAGCTGTCAAATAAATACCTGTACACGTGGACTATCTCTGTGACGATCTTGTCTAAAAAGATTTTCTTTCTGTTCCATAGGATCATCTCCCTATGTGTTATAGGACTTCTCTACAACGAAATTCTCTCTGCGATAACTACAACGACTTTTTTCTGATTCTCTGGATATTTCATCGTAGAGAGAGTCCTACATTATTCCCTTTTCTCAAGGATAACTCCGATTAGAAGGCATCCGATTAACCGTACAATGATTTCGATTCAATAAGAGGAAATAACGCGACTTGAATTTACAGTATAATCCCAACTTCAGTCGCTTCAATTCCTTACAATAAAATACTTAAGCATTCGCAATTTTTGGAACTACTGGTAGACTAAAATTTAAAAACTTCATTAATTATTCCGGCAAAGGCACTCATTTATTAAACCGGATAATCGGTGTTCATGTCAACATTAGATTATCAGAACTCCCATATTCAAGTTTTCGTGAGACTAATCACACGCGAATCCACACACAGTACAAATGCATTAATTACCATCTCCAACTGGATCTCCGTCGCTAGGAACTCGGGCCAACAGGAATAGCAAAATACTTCGAAGCTCGGCATGAGATATGTAAAGAAACGTCTGATAACCCAGATCCCCGTCATATCCAAGCTTCTGTAAGCAAAGTCCACAAAAGCATGAATTCTTCAACTTTAAAAAATAAAATAAAAACGCTTTACGAACCTTTACGGCAGAAGAAATATCATTGCACAGCCGGAACTTGGCGGCAGTATTCTGAGGGACTTCTTTAGATGAAACACTTTTCAAGTGTCCAATAGCATGCAAGCAGTGCAGCGAAGATTTGATCGCGTCATCGACTTTGAACTGACTCAAGCTGGAGTATGAAGCATCGAATTCGCTGAGGAATATCACAAATTGAGCATCTCTACATCGAGAATGTGGTTTTCCAAAGGCTGTACTTACAAGCCTGAATGACGAAGGGACTGCAGAATTATTTCATCCGTGTCGTCCATTGCAGAGATGAGGTTTAGCACTCGTTACAATGATAATTCGTTTTACACACACACACACAACGCATTCTGAGGAAAGATTTCCGATACAAAATTGTCATACAATACTTGAAATGACATAAAAACGAAAGAAAAAATAGAACACAACGCCGACAGGTCAAGAAAAGCGATCGTAGAAAAGGGTCAGTCCTTCAAGGTGAGAATATGCACAGGAAAGCCCATAGTTGTTAGCTTGCCACGAAGACTGTGGCAAATCTTGACGTGTCTCACAAAATCTTCCTTCTTGAACGAGTCTGCCTCGCACCCAACACAGCGATATTTCAGACCATGGTTTCGGGTAAAATGTTTCCTGTATGAAACCCAGTCACGGCACATCTCCTCACAAAACTGGCATATCAAACCGCCACGGTGGCAAATAATGCAAGTTTTCATCCGCTAGAAATGAGATCTTGTCACTTCCGAGTGTTCAGCAGAAAAAAAATTCTCGAGAATACATTTCAAGAGCCAAGATTGAGATCGCTTACAGCAGTGTTCCCCAACCAATGGTCCGCGGACCGGCGCCGGTCCCCAGACGTTTTTTGCCGGTCCGCGGGAAATTTTCTCCAGCATAATAAATTTTAAAGTAGCTATGAAGGATGTTAAAGTATTTTCATCTGAAGTTTCGGCAAGACAATGGCAGTTAAAATTATCTCATGAAACTTTAATGTTGGCTTTTCTCCTAATAACACTTAGAACACATTTTCGCCTCATAAAATAAATATTAAAATGTCTCATTCTGTTAACCTTTCTTCAAGCCAACCTTTCTAATTTTTTGAAGACATTTCACCATAGCTGTTTCATTTTTTCTCAACTTTGCAAGAAAAAAGGAACTTTTTAAATATACCTGCCATGAAGTCTTCCAGAAAAAACTTTTTTGAGTCTGGAAAAATTGTAGGAAACTTTGCCGGTCTGCAAAAAATTGTACAAATTTATTGGTCCACGAAAAATTTCATGGAAATTTGCTGGTCCGCGGGCCCATAAAGGTTGGGGAACACTGGTTTAAAGAGTGATTAATCCAAAGCTTCGGAAATAAATTTGAAGACGTCCACTGATCAGCGAATAACAAATGAAGAAATTTCAAAATTTACCAAGCATTCGTTAAGAATATGCTCACGTTTTTCCAATCGGTGTGGGTACAGCTAGACGAAGGAAAATTCTGAAAATAAAAGTCGGAGCAAAAACTTCACCAATAGTGACGCAAAAAAATATAAGAAACCTTAATTGACGTTTTCGACTATTTTTGCTTACCGGGGGTGAGACGTCTCGAGGAGGCTCAGGCTGAAGAGACAGCGATGCATTTTTCAGAGCAGAAACTCGGCATTCCGAAGCCTTGGCTCTCAAAACTTCTAATTCAGGGGCTGCTTGAGGGAAAAATTTGAGAATACGCATAAACATCAGTAATATATAAACGCTTCACGATACAAAATCCGACATCGCCTTGAACGTATACCTTCCTTCAACAACCCATCTTGCTTTGTGCGATGTTAGACAAGTGTCGCCTCAATCACTATAAACGACCAGACTAAAAATACCATTTGTTCTATTGTTCAATACTTGACCATACCAAATCCCAACATGATTGGCAGGAATTTTCGGAACCGTAACGCAGAAGACACCCCATCTTGTTCGTCGGACAAAATATTTGAAAGCAGACAACCCTGAAGTACTGTACTTCAGTTCGGTTCCGTAACAAACTCGATCAACATTAGGAACACCACACATGCCTTTCAAGACGGAATTTCGTTTTCGGTCATCCGACGTAACGGACAAAAACAGAGCGTCACCTCAATTCAGACTCGAAACAGTTCTGGAGGAACATAAACCATGACAAATAAAATCAAGGACTTCGGGCCTTGAAGACGAAGAAACAATAAAACACCATCTTGTGCTATAAAAAGCACTCATGAGGGCAAATTACTGTGTATGAAGGTTTTTCATTCGAATTCCAGGCTTCCTTACATTCAGCAACGTCGACAGGCGAACGCATTGGTCGGCAAACATCCGCGAACAAAATCATCCGAAGTCCATCGTACGGTTCTATGACTGGAAACTTCTCGGAAGAATCTACTTCCATCTGTTTCCACCTATTTTTTGTAAGAGGTTCTGCAGTCGCACTGCTTGAACCTGAGTCGGAAAAAAACATTACTTCGACGTGTAGGTGGCAATTCCCGACCTTTTAGCTCACGAAGACTAAGATCAGTAAAATTGTCAAAGGACTCGAAGGAAAAAACAAATATAATTACCAGCCTCAGTTTCGAATTGCTCCACTTCAGGCAGCGATTTCAAACGCCTAAGTGGGATGCACATTTTCTGAGTCTCCGATACATTCACAGCTTCTGGAAGTAAGTAGATATAGAAGAAAACCATTCGTGCGACGAAAATCATTCGCTTACCTCCAATTATCCCGTCCCATGAATGAAATGTGGCATCATGTGCATTGCAATGTACCAACTTCTGTTCACCAACTTCTTCAACAGAGACCGCAGCGACCGTTACTTCGTCCGATATTTCTGGAATTTTTGACGGCACCGAAATAACGTTTGTAACGGGTGAACAGATATCGGGTTTCTCGCAGAAGAACGATCGTGTGTCAGAGCCGTACTTGCTGAACGTATTGCACGGTTGTTCCACTTCCAACTGATAGATCACATCTTTGGCTTCAACAAATGAAACATCATCATGTTCACTGGCATTAAGCTCACGAGTATACTGCACTGATGGTTCTTGGGCAGCATATGGGTTTTCGGCGCAGGCTTTCTGAGAGATTGGTAATTCTTCTGCATCCGACGATGGATCAGATGAAACTGCGAAACACGAATCTTCACAGGAGAACGCGGAGTGCGAATTTTCGAATACTGAATCTTGTATTTGATCACTGATGTCTTCGAGGATTCCGCCCGGGAATGATTGTTTCTGGCCTTCTGATTCCGAAATTTGGACACAACTGGCTGCTTCATTTCCGCTTCGTTCTTTCCCAACTTCGCAGCTACATGCAGTGCTCCTATCATCACACGAAGAAAGCTGACAGATGCACGGATTCGAGGGCAGTACTGAAATTTTGCATTCTGCTTCACGTCGAGCACGGACTCGGTAATTCACTGAACTCGAAACGCCACGTTTGCGTTTCGACGATCTGACGAAATCACGAACCTCCCAACCCATCACGGAACGTTGAGCTTCATCGCCGTCATACACGAGATCAACGAACTCATCACGACGCCTGTTCAGGCGCTTTAAAGCGTACATCACGAAAAAAAAATTATTCTGAAAATGACACGGGTTTCAAAATTAATCTAGAGGAAAAATTCAATTACACGAAGAAATAATTATTTAAGCACTGGAAAAAAAGCCAGACGAGATCCTCAATCAGAAGGGCGGGTTGCTTGATTCGCTAGTCTTCGCAAGCGCCGTTTCACGTCATCTCGTCTCGATTTCAACTTCTGCCTCAGATCACCTACAGACTCTTTTTCGGGAGCGTAGCAGACATGAAGTATGCCACCGAAGAAATTCTTGCCGTCCAGAAAACGCTTCGCGTGCCTGTAAAAGTCCGGATTTCAGTGTTGTTTCTTTTCTTTATTCAAATAATAATGTTTCAAATCCTGCCCGAACACTACAGGAAAATTCAGGAGTGACATAAAAGTACCCGAAGCATGTTAGAAGCGATTTCAAATTCAATGCTTAACTTCTTCACGAGTTTCAAGAATACTCCACAAAAAAAAAAGAAGTATACTGAAGGACTAACACTGGCAAGCGATTTTTGAAAGTACCTTTCAGGAACATCTGAATTGACCATTTAAAGCAGCATTTCGGTAGGCGAGACATGGTTCAAATGTTGAGCAAATCTTTTGATCATGAACTTTTCCACCGTGCTCAGGAGAGTTCCGATCACAGGATTAATAGTATGATCAGTGCATTGGAATTCGCTGAAGGGCCCTCGAAACGACACTGAAAATTCGATCAGCTCTGTAATCCAATTATGCAAACGAAGACTTTTTTCGCTGAATTAAGAGAAGTCCGGTTGAATATTTCAAATTATATACTGACCATTTCAAGGCAGAATTTTGGTAGGCAAGAAATGATTAAAATAAACAGAAAATGTTTTCAAAATTACTCTTACATCGTGAACTCTTCCATCGTACTCAGTAGCGTTCTGATCTTAGTATTTATTGTATGATGAATGTACAGCATTGGAATTCGCTGAAAGGCACGGACAACTCTATCAACTCTGCAATGAAAGTGAAGACTTTCTTTCGCTGAATCAAAAAAGCCCAGCTGAATATTTCAGAGTATCCAGAGTATCGTTGAAAACTGTTTCAACAACTTTCATATCTTCATCATGTTAACGATACAAGAATGTTTCCGGTTGATATCTCGCTCACAATATACTGTACCTGGCAGATGCCAGAAACTGGTAGCATACTAGCCACGTTTCGGTGAATTGCTCCAACGGGGGATAATCTTCTAGACGTTCAGCCGAAACGAGTTTTCCATATTTCTCACACGCCTTCTTCATTTCCTGGTCCAATTTCACTGATGGGACTCCTTGAATTAGTAGATACTTCGATTCATTGCAAACCGTGTACACCTGGAAAATTTCGCATTCCATTTCGCTGTAACTATGAAACCCGGCGGAATGCGACTATTGTCCGATTTCCATAATTTATTAGAAAGAAGCACAGCACCAGGTAGTACTTTTTTTCTCAAGTTCTATCATTCATTTGATTCTTTTACAAGTTTTTTCGATTGAGTGTCAGCTGATTCAAGTTCCAAGGACTAAATATTCGAAACAGATCCACAAATGATTCAATGATTTAAATTTCCTCAACACGTGGAAATGTCACGTAAAATTTTTGGGATTGACCTGAACATCTAAGCTTTTCATTCGACCGGAATACTAACGTAAAAGTAACTTAATAATTCGTTAAAAATCTGAAGATCAGATAGTGAAGAAATCAGACACCTATCTGTATCAAAAATATAAAAACGCATCGTATCCGAATTTCAGGATACATTTGACGAATACAATAACTTTAAAAGGGAACTTTTCTCTCACCAACCTTGACTGCTGTAAATTTTCGACCTTGACGATAAGCAGGTCTGGTGTAACAAAGTTCAGACTGCACGTGATGGTCTAACTTCTCGGTCATCAAACTTATCGCGACGCAATCGCGGATTTCCACGAGATCACCAACAGGTGCCAGATTCTGCAACACGATCTACCACCATGAAATTCGACTGTCACAGCGAGTTAAAAATCAATCACGCACAGATTTTGTAATCGTTTGACATAGAACTACATTTTCCACTGATACACTAGCAAATGATTACCACAACGGAATGTGATCACGACAGCCTATAAAAATGTTTTCTTTGTTGTATGAGTCGATAGGTCCAGATCAAAGCTTCAGTCGCTTATCATCTTCGCACATCTGGCGCATCACGAAGTAGAAATCGCACAAACCAACAATCAGAGCTGTCGAAAGTCCCACGGCAACTTTGTCCATCATTGTGGCTCCTTCCACATTGTAATCCACCAATTTGTATGCGAAGACGAAAGTTCCAACAACTGTAAGAATTAGCTGCACCACGTTCGTCACTTGAGCTCTGGCTTCTTTCACTAGAAAGAAACAAAATATCTTCAGTAGACGATTAAGATCAAGAGAATCTAATGCTCCGTTTCCGCTTAGGCAAATCATCAACAATGTTTCATCAGCATTGCACACATTACACGATTATAGTGCAGGGGCATACACGGAACGATGACATTTTTTTTTCATTTCCTCTTGATATATCCTGCATCCGACAAAAATATTTCAATCCTCAGACTAGTAATATAATTTTAAAACTGAAACAACGTAAAGATGGATTCCCCGAGATGGTTTCCACGTAAACGACGAAAAAATTTTTGAAAAATGAAGAAGGGTCGGAGATGAAGCTCAATCTGTATCAACAGAGACAAAGTAGTTTTCAGGTTTCGTAATTAATAGACAACGTCCGGCCTTCAACCATCCGTGCAAAGATTACTCAATAGTATAAAAGATAACAAAAATTAAGGGCGACAAAGTTGGCAACTGACAATTTTTAAATCCAAGAGAATCCCAATCCTTGAATTGAATTTGAACTGCATGTGGTAATCCACACGAAGAACAGCGAGGTAGCCCAAAAAAATGTTTTCGAATCGGTACATCATATCTTCATGTGACAGAAGAAGAGCATTGAAGGATCAAATATGGCCAAGGTAAAGGAGATTCCTTCAGTGATCCAGTTGAGTTGAACCTCACCAAGTCAATTTTTGATGTTGCTCTCTGAATTCCCTTAGAAACAGTGCATTAAAAGCCTCTCTAGCTTGAATACTTCCCCTCTCAAACCTCTGAAACTCGAATTTTCTGGAGGCATTTCATCAGAATCCTGTCAACTCATTCAAGAAGCAATTCAAGGCCTAGAATATCACCAATCACGAATTCCCATTATTTCTCTCCTTCCCCGGAAAATTTTTTTTTTTAACCTTCTCAAGTCACATTTGTTTGCTATTGCCTTGAAGTTTGACTTACAGAGGAGGTTTGACTGTGTAAAAAAAATGCAAAGAAACAAGCGTCGAAGCTGAACTGATCATCCAACCTTGTGCACCCAGAGTTTCACAGGGGTTCTTCAGAAGATTGTGATCTACATTCTTCACCATGTTCCTGTAAGCTCGGTTATCTTGCTCCTTTTTCAGCCGTTGCACACGAGCTTCCAGCTCGGGATTACGTTCCGGAATGACTGGCGGCTGTGAAGTGGACACCAGTTCAGTACTACTGTGATAACATTTTATTTCCTGGCCTTCGCAACTAACTTGGAACACGACGGAATCTGCGCCCATGTCTTCGCTTACCGACCAATCCTCGTCATGAGCTTGGATCAGTTCACAGCAAGCGTGAAATTCAGAATAAGTTAACCCTTCAGAAGCATCGGCTTTCTTCAACGCTGAGTCAATTTCTCGTGAGGAACTACTCGCGGATTCCTTGGCTTTTGCGAGAGCCGCAAAAAAATTCGCCCGCGGCTTCACCTGCATGCTTCTTACTGGGTCTGCAATTGTTCGTAAATCGTCGGTTAGATGAAAGATCCGCGGGTATAAAAATTCAAGGATTGAAGTGAGGGAAGACTTTTCGTCCCGAAGACCACCCTATGAAACACCAAGTTGTATTTTACCGCCCACTTTCCCAGACAACCCTTGGCATTCCCGGTAACGGTTCTGAACATTCGAAAGGAGCGCAAACCAACAATCTTTGGAGAAACACAGATTACGCCGTAGATTGAAAAAAAAAAAGAAGAGATGAATTCATTCCTTTATCCATTCGCTTATCGCAGTCGTCAGGGTCACCAAGTGTCGAAAGCAGATGAGCCTATAACATTCCGTATCCACGTAACTCACACTTCAATAAAATCTCGGCACTTGAACAGTTGAATCTGCTGATCTTAAATTTCCCTCCCCAACACCAACTAGCGACACAGTTTTCCCTCAAATTCTCGGGGGGAAAAATCCATAACAACCGTAACGGGTGAAAGCATCAACCCCAAAACCTCCGCGCTTCGGTCGCTCTTAACCAATGAAGCTTCGACCGAACTAAATTGTACAGCCTTCAAATAAATTTCCATTCAAAAAAATAATTCTTTTTTTTCCTACTGTATATGCAATGAGCACGGATAACAACGCACAAACCGAAATAAAAACGTACATCGCAGATCACCCGAACCTCAGTGGATACTCTTCCTGCCTTTTCTGAACGGCCAGCCGGTGCTTTTGCAATTGGGAATGCTATAACTTCGTTCCAGCTGAAACTATTGGTAAAAAGCTTTCGAGTTTTCTCATTCAGTAACGAAGGGTCGTTGACATAATTAAAGGCACGAATCCAATGAATATTTCCTGCTTTTATAGCACTCATTCGCCATTTCCCTTCAACATTAAACAATAGTTAATATCGTACATATGAAAACCTCGTCATGATTCCTTAATAATTTACAGAAACAAGGGGGTCACAAAAACAGCAGAAATAAAAGCAGAAAAAAAAAACAGGAAAGTAGAAATTTTCGGAACTGGACATATGTTTCCCGCAGGATTGACATGAAGACATCGCATCGGAGTAAAAAAAAACTGCTCAACGAGTACTTTCACGCCAGTTCCTTTTTTTTGGAGGAAAATGTTCTCAAATGAAGCTTTTCCGCTGCTTTGAACCCCCTTGATCGAAGCATAATCCAATCATGCCACGAGACATTCATTACGCTTAAATCCAACAAATTTTCGAATCAAAAGCAAAGTATACTTTGCTCACTCGCAATTCTCACTCGGCACCTACATCAAACACTCTACCTAGCAACAACACAAGCACAATTCCTATCCTGATTCTATGAGTTTTGTGGGATAAATCGAGGAAGTGGGATGGCTGGAGAGTATCTTTTCCACACTCATCACACAGCTTGAAATATCACGCAAGGAACGAGGACACATCTTCGAAGGGAGAAAATAAAATAAATTTTCGTCAATAATGGGTCGGGTAACGGCTCCCCATCGGCCTGGAAGCTGGCTGTTGGCTTCCTCCACGAAACTTTTCAGGATTCATGAAGTTCCCGGGTTCCACACCATCGTGTCCCTACGTATCAAGTTTCATGAATATCGTTGACGCGGATTCTTTTCACAGCTGAATCTCTAACCTGAAAATTTTCATCGTTGGGCGTTTCTTCGCCTGGTCTACTGACGAAATCCAGCGCTTCGGTCGTTGGTTCAGCTTAAAAAGACAATGTAAAAATGTATATACAGTAGCAAGGAATTCCATTGCAAAGTATTTCAGCTTACGAGGAGGAGGTATGAAGACATTCGCAGGGAAAGCAGGTGATTTCACGACCGGTTTCGAGGACGAGGTATCGGCGCTTTTGTTAGGGTTCAAGACATCAACATATCCTAACCTACCACCTGGAAAGCCGCAGAGACAAAAATCAACACGATTTTCTTGCTCTCGTCAGACCCTTATATTCTTTAAATGATTTGAATACTCCACACGATACGAGGTGCAACAAGTAAATACTACTTTTTCTCCGATTATGGATTATTTGAAAGGTGTTCGAACGATTGAAAATTGAAAAAAATATTTGGTCCTACTCCAATCCCTGACATACGCATACACATCTTATAAACGAACAAAAATTATATTCGCAAATCACCATATCCTCCATCATTTAGTTCCAACTTTCAACAAACCAATACCCTCTGGTTACCGAAGCCTGAGAAGTAGAAAATGCGTTCCATTCTTAAAATTGGACATTCATGTACAATAATCAATATCCTAGAACTACCGCGAAGGGCTGATGCAAACCATTCAGTCCTCATGTTATACCGAATGAACTGGAAAACCAAGACGTGATATAAAAGCTTCAACAGCAGAGGCTCATAAAAAGCGATAATTCGCTAATACTTTAAATTCATCACACTTACCCTTACGCTTGAACCTATTTTCAGCAGGAGCAGGAGGCGCGTTAGAGCTCGCTTCAGACTTCGGAGTCGACTGGGATTGTGGACGAGAGCCCTGATGGATCAAATTCGTAGGAGACGCGAGAGTCGTCTCATTATTAGTCGGCTCAATTTTTTCCGGGAAACGGTCAAGACTCTGCTGATGGTAATGCGAATCATGAGCCCCGTGATCAAAGGAAGGCTGTTGCGGAGGCAGTGACGGAGGGCCACCAGGCAATTCGAAGTCTTTGGGCGGTGCGATCGGACCAGACGCTTCCGTTTCGGCTCCATTCGAATCCTGGTTTACCCACTTCTTGAGTTTATCGTCCCAAATGATCTAGGGAGTTTTCGTCACACGTTAGAAGAGTATGAACATTTCAAATGTTAATTACACCAGGGGTTGTCCGTCTTCCCAGAAAAGTAAACCATTTAACTGGAAACCGTAGCGCACTGAGATAATCACCATATTTACTCGAGTACCACACGCCCTCAAGTAAGAGGCGCATCAGGGTTTTTCAGTCAAAAGATGAATAATTTTGAAATTGTATCCACCAAGTAAGAAAGGCAACCCATTCCTAATGACTCTAAAACTGCAATATTTCAAAAATAAGAACACCCAAATCCAATTTAGACATGCATTGATCCTGGATTCAACTAATTTTCACTTACTTCCATTACATAAAAGTTTTTCTGTTGAAACTAGTCAAAAATTTCTCAATAATTTCAAATAAAATGTACACCTAAAATTTCTGAATATTTTTCAAAGATCAAACCCGCCTATGACGCCCACCCCATGTTCCCTCTAAATTTAGAGAAAAAAAGGTGGGCGTGTAGTAAATAAGGGTACTGTAGTTTGCCTTAACTTTCCAAATTATACCACCCCTATACAACACAATGAAAACAAGCTTGTCCTGCTTAATAATGTAAATGCACGCCTTCGGTATTATTTTTCGATTTCCTGCACGTTTTGAGTGCTCCAACGAGCTGAAAGCAATACCCGCATCTTTTCCAGTGACGAACACATTGAGTGAATAGCGTAACACCAACTGGGATCTTTTTTTTTCACAGGATTAAGCAAGGAAAATGCAGAGCCAGCATATTTATCGGTGAACCAAAAACCACTCACGGATTTCTGGCTATCATCTGGAAGTATCATCTGGTTCGGTGCGTTCGGCACCAGTTTATTCACGATTTTCTTGATCCAGCTCGGAGCAGTGGCACTTTGGGAAATATCTCCGTTTTTCGCTGGTTGCTGCTGATGCTTCTTGTCTTCCGACAGTTCATGAGGCATTTTATGCGAACCAGGCATCGGTTCATTCGCCGGTCGTTCGGACAAAGTAGGCATAGGTGGCAAGGACGAAAAATTGTTTCCAGCCCAGCTGTCACCGACGGGCCCAGGCCGCTGGGATCGCATCCCGCTTCTCCCAGCCGGAGGCGGGAAGCCATGTTCAAAGTTGGCGGAAGGAGGAAAACGTTGATTTCTACTCGAATTCAAACTCGTGTCTCCCGAAGAATTCTTTCGTCTCTCTGCTCCGATTGCTCCAAGATGCCCGCTGGCAGCAAGGGTGCTGGCAGACGAGACTGACTGACGATCGGACTCGACGGATATTTGCGAAGAAACCGATTCCTGCCAAAACGAATAATTCAAATTTGTATCCAAACAATTACAATGACACAACACATCAAATGCGAGCATGCACACTGAATAAAGAGAAGTAAGTCTGACAAGCGCGATAACGAGAAAAAAAGTGAAATAAGATGCAGCAGGGTGATGGACGCCAATATCTTGAGAACACCCCGGAACAACAAACACGCACAACTTTTATTTAAAAATCTGATGATCGCAAGAAGGCACAGGCAAAATTTGCTATCCATAAAAAAAGAAAAATTCAACCTTCTCGTCGAGGCAAAATATTCCGAAATACAATGCTACAAATGATTAAGGAAAAAGCTAACAATAAAGGAACAATACACAAAATAAAATAAGAAAATGACAGCTTTTCGACAAAATTGACTGTACTGTAACCTACTATACTGTAAAATGAATTAGACCAGCTCAGAGCTTTTTTCTGCAGATACACGATTAAGATACATAAAAAATACAGCACCCGTATCCACTCGAGTACCATGCGCCTTCGGGTGAGACGCGCACTTTGGTTTTTCAGTTGAAAATTTTGATTAAATCCGATCCCCAGTAAGACGCGCACCCCATCCTAGGTAACTCTAAAACCACAATATTTCCAGAATACGAACTCCAAATTTAATGTGGACATGAATTTGGCGAAATTCAATTGCTTTCATTAAAATAAGTTAGCTGTTAAACTTCGTCCACAATTTTCATTTAGTATCAAGTTTAATGCAAACCTAGCCTTCGAAAACTTCTTGAAAAATGTATACCAGCCTGTGACGCACACTTTTTTTTTATTCTCGAATGTCAGAAAAATTGTGTGCGTGGTTCTTGAGTAAATATGGTATTTAACAGAAAAACCACTAAATCATACCGTGCACGCGACAGAATGAAAACAGACAATCATTGCAAACATAGGCTTAAACTCAAACTTAAGACAACAAAAGTTAAGCTCATTCATGCCCTACAAAAGTCCACCTAGGCACCTCCGATAAGGACCCTGTCTCCTCCTCCTCCTCCTCCTCAATACAGCGGTAATTGGCAACGGCTGCCGGCAACTCCACGCACCTCTGTGTCCCAGCAGAAAAAAAGCAGCGTTTCCGTGAGGTTTAAACGAAAAAAGTGTTCGTGACGGCACAAACATCCACACCGTGCGCTTTCCGCATAAATAGATAAAAATAATGACTGGGCTCACCTTCCGTGCTACTGCAGGCGCTGAGGCCGGGTCCCAGTATTCGACTGATCCCGAACGATAAGCCCTATTATTCGGTTCAAAACCGGGCTGTGGGTGAACATCTGCAAGTGTCATGCCTCCTGGATGAAAACCTCCAGCTGTGAAGTTTTGAGGAACGCCAGGCACCATCATAGGCTGTACAGGCTCTCTGGCTGCATCAGGAATGTTGGGTAAAGGAGCAACTGGAGCAGGAAGCGGCTGAGGCTGACTATGAGACCACGGTGTGATTTCCCCAACAGACGGCGGATTACGGGCAACACCCATTGATGCGGGTGGAGGAAGCACTTGAGCCGGTGCGGACACTGAACATAAAATAACGACATTAAAAATCACAGCTTATAAAATATTTTTTCACCATTCTGCACAAAAATTTCCAGTTTCTTACAGTTTTCTTTTTAGACTCTAAAAAATTATTATGGGAGTATAGATTACAAACATGTCTTAAACATAACCTGTCAAAAATTAAACCAATCTACAGTACAGTACTTCAATCTCTAACCAGCTGATATACAGGAGTTAGCCTTTTGATTTATTCTCGTACAATTAAGCAACTGCCAAGAACTAAAAGGTTCTCATTGTTTCCCGCAAGTTTACAGAGATGTTCAGAGAAATGAGAAACACTTCGAGGAGTTTTTCCTTCCTACCTCTTCATTTACTAAATATTCTGTACACAATTCGTAAAAGTATGCAGCAAAATGTTACACAAGGTTTCACAGTCCAGTCGAAGAGAGAAATTACATAATTCGCAAACAACACTTGTATTTATCAACTTGGTTGTAATGATGTTTTGGGAATGCAGGTATTCACCAACTTGGATCAGTTTCAAAATACAGTAGTTTTATGCAACACAAATACTATCACAAGGCAGAAATTCACAACAAACCTGGTTCAGCTGGAACTTCGGGCAAGGAAGGCATTTGTGGAACAGCAGTCGGCACGGGCATATCGACACTTTTTTGTAGATCAACATGCGCTTCATTCTTTACAACCTCTGGAGCCACTGGTTCGGGCTGAATTTGAGCAGCATGATGCTCAAACCGTTGCTGATTCTGGACTTGTTCCTGAACCTGGTAACTATCCCGACGTTCGGGACGCGGCTGCCCACGAGCTCTAATTTTTAATGCTGTCAGCCAACCGGGGGCATCCCGATTCCGAGCGCGCCGGAAACCGATCGGTTTCAAATTCTCTGCTATCTCCAACACAGCCTCCACGAAGCCGTCAACATCGATCAACCCAGATGCCCCCGTACGTCCGATCCAATCACCAATAGCAGCCACGTAGTCGTACGCTGCATCCGACTTCATGGCATCCAAAAGCCTCTCAGCTTTTATTAGCTTGAATGCCTAAAGAAAAACATTCGTTAATAAATTATATAATTCAACGGGTAGAATTAAAATCTTAACTGAGCAACCAATGCTTAGCTGGGCAACACAAGAGCACACAATCGTCATTTAACCCAGAGATTACGGCATCATCAACTAGTCAACATCGATAAACCGCCACCATCATTTTTTTAGAGGTTTGTGGCGGTTTCAATGGGGATATTGGTTATCGAAAAAGCTAAAATATTATTTTTTTTAAATCAAGCATAATAGCAAATAAAAATCGTAATCTTCTAGAAAACAATCAATATACCCTGGGATGCATAAATTCTATCTAGCTAATGTTTCCAAAAAGTAATTTATGTCATCTTCGTGTTAGTTTTTTTTTTTTTAATGGAGACCTCTCATAGAAACTTGAAACGTTTTGGCGGTCAATCGAAGACAAAATTAATTGGCAGGAGCATATTTGAATTGTGTAGTTTTGGCGGACGGCGTTTCAAGTGGGTTTCCAGTGCTATCACAGATCAATAGGAAATAATTGTTTTTGAAAATAAATGCGGCAGTTGCAGGGGGTGGTTTCTTTCCGAGGAGCATCTTACGAAGTTTGCCAGTACATATATTCTGCAACAGTGAATTTTCAATAACTTTTCCAACTAGAATTCCCAAGAGCAGCAAAATCTGACATCAGATATCACACGATTATAGAATTCCACACTCATTGAGTAAACTTCACACGAAGAACGCAGAATTATATCGCGAAATTCCACTTGGTCTCAATGAACCTCAAGCGAGCTTCGAAGAAAATCGAATCACCTGAAGCTGTGGAATGGAGAATTCCGGATGGGAAAGTCGCATTCCGTACTCGTACAACTCCGTCAAACCGATAGCGTAATTGGTAGTGATGTCTTCATAATTCACTACGCTTGACGACGAGTCAGTTCTACCAGCGCCAAGCAACACGAGTCGAGCGCCGGGATCTTCCCACGAGCCGAACGATGAGCCAGCAACCAAATAACAGAACTGAGATGCGTGTAACTTGCCCATCGCCCCTAGGATGAGAGAGAACGAAAGTGCAGCGATAAGTAGTGTTGAATTTTACAGAATGGCGAATGCGTCCCGCAATTGCGTAAAAAAGAAAATTCGTCAACTCACTCAAATTATCGCCCATCCTTTCGATAGTCTGAGAAACCATTTCGTCGTCTTCGCAATTTCCGATTACCATTGCAAGATGGGAGCGCCAATCTCCCAGACTTGGGTTCCAATTCTGGAAAAAAAGGCAGGTACTGTATAGTCACATGCTCACATCAGAAGCGAGTCAGAAAATCAGTCTTCCGAAAAATTTGATCAGGGATTACTGTACAGTACTATGTTGGAGCTCTATCGGAATGAGATTCGGATGACTGGCTAACAAATCCGATATTCGCAAAACTGTAACCTAGAAAAGGTTATATATTTTCAAGCCCATCACAATGAACTACAGTACAGTAAAATCTAATTACACCAAAACTCATGGTTACTTCATTTTTAATCGAAATAAATGACTGGAAAAAATCTCACATCAGACCTGTCAATAATCAATTACATCTTGCTTTCCTGGCATTCCCACCTTTTTCATTATTCTTTGAAAAACTGAGTGATCTTGTGAAAAAAAAAATTAGCTTCGATCATGCACCCCATCAGTTGCACAAATTTCTTCATTGTGGAAAAATGACGTGAAAATCTCTTCCTTCTGGGAGGATCTTGTCCGTAAACACTTGGAAGCCTGCTTGTAATTAATTACAGCTTCCGTCCAATACAAGTCAGTCAGTCACATGTGGGATTGAAAATTTCGTACTTTACGCACCTTCGTCAAGAAATTTCTACCCAGAGAATCAATTAAACATTGCTCAAAAAAATGTATTTTAACGAGATCGTTTCAACTCTGTGGGTTTTGTGCTGGGACTAAAAAAGTTCCTTATGCAGTAAAATCTCGCTGCAATGATGCTGTTGGGACCGGGAAAACGGCTTCGTTATAACACAAAATTCGTTACAAAATGATTCGAATAACGTAGAGTAATTGCTATTGGCACCTGAAAATGACTTCGTTTGAACCAATAATTCGTTAAAAAGATAACTCTTTGTACCGAGAGTCTACTGAACAATTTGTTGTGAAGTTAGTCGAATAAACAATTTGTTGTGAAGTTAGTCGAATGAACAATTTGTTGTGAAGTTAGTCAATGTGAAGAGATTATACTGTGTTTTAATGAAGAAAAAAGGATGAATACAGCATTATGAACGGGTACAATACTATGCATCTTAATACGAGGGTTCTAACAAAAGTTCTCAGAATAGGAATTAAAATGGCGCAAAATCGAGCTGAAAAAAACTTATTCTTTAGGGATAACATATTCTTTGGCACACACAAAAAATCAGCCCTGTTTCACTATTTTTTTTTTCAATTTTTTGCAAAATTCCCCCTGGCAGAGTTTTGCTCTCCACTCAAAAGATGAAGCGCCCTTCCTGCAGTTTTTTCTTATGTTCCCAACCCATGGAATTAATGCCACATTGATTTCAAGAATTCTGAGGGGAAAGCTGGGCTACACTACATCAACAAAAATCAGCCACCAAAGTGGCGGCTGTTGATGAAAATGGCGGAATTACCTTGGAAGACCTGGAGGCAACCCTTGGAATTAATGCCACGTTGATTTCAAGAATTCTGAGGGAGAAGCTGGGCTACATCAACAAAAAATTGCAGGAAGGGCGCTTCATCTTTTGAGTGGAGAGCAAAACTCTGCCAGGGTGAATTTCGCAAACCATTGAAAAAAATCGTGAAACATGCCTGATTTTTTGTGTGTGTGCCAAAGAATATGTTTTCCCTAAAGAATAATTTTTTTTCAGGTCGATTGTGCGCCATTTTAATTCATATTCTGAGAACTTTTGTCAGAACCTTCGTATAAGTCTGGCAGTGTCAGGAAATTGAATAAACCACAGCAGAACAGACTCATGAATAATTAAATAAAAACTCACGGTGATGTTGGGAGAGGTTTGATGCAGCACGAGATGATAAAGTGTTTTCAATGGATCTTGCGGACGCAGCGACTCGGAAAAAGCTGCTAAAATTCGCTCAAATGCTCCCGACTCCGCTGGCATCATTTTAGAAGCCAACAACGCAGCATGGCCCCACAGCCCGGTCCCAACGGCGTGATCTGTTGAAAAAAATGAATAGTACAGTAATGAAAATAGAAAATGAATATACGCCCGCAATGGAGTCTAGAATCATTACACAGTAATGTAATGTGTTTTCACTAACCTAGTGCCTCCGACCGCTGCCCCGCCAACATAAGGCGGTAAAACGTTTCCAAGGACTCATCCTCTCCCGTACCATCGTCTACTTCTAGTTGTGGATTCTGTTGAGAAAAATACGCATTGCACTTCCTTTAAGGCATCAACTTCGAAACAATGTTTCAATTCGGAACGCCGAGAAGACACTAAGAAAGCAGCGGCAAACATCTTATTGATCAGCAGAAAATCAGCATTTTCGTGCGATTCAATCTTGGACAAGAGTATCTTGCATATTGTATCTTGGACTTATCTTGCAGTCATAAGTGTTGTTGATAAATCAAAATCGATCGCAGTGAACTGACTCCAAGTATAAGTAGACTTTCTGCAATTTTATGAAAACGTAAAACAGGACCCTATCCACTTTTACAAGTTTTTGCCACAAAGCTCCTGACCTACTCGTTCCTTTGATTAAAAAATAAATGTTTCATCGTGATCGACGAAGTAGAGAAATTAATCACCATAGAACTTCGATCACCAGGGAATCTGATTAACCGTGTCTAGATTTCGAATCAGTAAGTAAAGAAGCGGAATGCAAGCCTCGTAATCATAATTCAACACGCTTACTTTCCTTCGGATCCAAATATTAATGCAGGTAATCTGCTTCACGATTTTCAAGAAATACAATGTGAGGTCCGTTTGACATTGTTTTTTAAATATCGCGAATGAAACCTTTGATAAATTGGAAAATATTCGAAAAGAAGCCCGTCATTAGTGTACACACAGCAAATGAAAATCTCGCGTAACTTTCGGACACCCAATATCTTCTTCAAAAATACGAAAACAGTACTTACATCTACTACAGAAAGCCCAGTGGAAGAAGCTCCGTCGCCACGAGCAGTGGGCATTCCCCGTTCCTGCCCCTCGGCGATTGCACGAGCTTCTAACCCAGAAACACCTTCCCCACCTTCGCGTATCGGTGCATCCAAAGTTCCCGATACAGCTTCTACATCACATCGTTTCACGAGCAGCTCGGCGATGTCACTATGCATCATGGACTATGAAAGAAAAATTATAATTCATCATATGAGCAAAAAAATCTTGGGAATCTGCATGAAACTCACCCCATTCTGCTTGATTAGCAGAACAATGAATTCCAGCAGTAAAATGTGATCGGACGCGATATTAACATCTAGATCTTCGATCATTCGCATACAGTACGCAAGTGCCGTCTTTTTGCTGGACGATCTGAAAACAATGCGCAATCATTAGGGCATCAATTCAGAGAAATTTAGCGGATTAAGTTATGTCGAACCTTGAAAGAGGCCCAGGAAATTCGACCAAGTGGGAATCGTAATTCTCGGCGCTTTCGATTTCTTCGACGGTATCACACATGCCGAAAATCTCCAGAGTATCCTGACCGGGATATTTAACCAAGAAGCGGCCATCCGATAAGAAGTCGCCTATAGGAAAGAACAGTATACTCTTAAGGAATCTCGGAGAAAAAACTAGATGCGTCACAGCGTAATACCAATGGCATGGTCCCCTGAAAATTTCGGCACATCCTTGAAACGTTTTAGACCTTTGCCTTCGTTGCCTCCATCAAATTCGCCAGCCTTAATCACGGCGGCATCAACTCCACCTTCTTCCCTGCGTATCGGAAGATAACGAAGTCCACAATTAACCTTGAGGACGAGTAGGGCCAAAAAGGTAAAGAGAAAAAAAATCCCTCAACCAACCGATGCCATTACACACAAACGGAAGAGAATACTTTCAGTGATACGCTCTCAAGACGATCAAACCATCACGACGTGAACTTTAGTGCAAAATCATTCGGAGACTTCCATGTAGGAAACGAATATCCCGAGGATTTATAATTACCACTGCAACTGAGCAAACAATCATCTTCCAACCAGTAAGTATACCACTCCATCACGCATAAGTTGCTCCTCTCACCCAATAACTTCCAAGACGTCAACAATGCGCAATTTCCCCTTCGGGTGACTCAGTCCAGCGCTGGAAAACGCAACGCAAAATAGCACGCAGAGAACCCAACAAACGTGCGACATGAGTCGCATTTTTACACATCGGGTCGGCGGTTCAACAGGGGTTGGTGGCTTATCAAAAAGCTGGAGTGATATGAAAATTAGGCATAATAGGATAGAAAATGTGTATTCTTCTAGAAAACTATCAATATAAACATGAGGGGCATAAATTATACTGTACATTACTAATGACCCAAAGAAGCGAATTGTGTTTATGTTTCTTTTTTAATCAGAAACCTCTCGCAGAAACTTGAATCTTGTTGGCGGGTTATCAAAGACAAAAATAATTCGCAGTAGATCATTTGAATTCTCAATGATTTCGCCGGTTGGCGTTCTAAAGGGGTTTCTCATTAAGGAAGACTTTTTTAAATAAATGGCACTTGCCGAGGGTGGCGGCTTATCGGGGGCTTCTTAACGAGGTTGAATTGTACATGTACAAATGCCTTTCTGAGACTTTACGCGTGAATTTTAGAAATTCGGATTTTCACGCTAACCAGCAAAATAATACCGTAATCTTCAGAAATTAGCGATAGTCTTTGAGTTTACAATGCCAACACATCAAAGGTAGATTACAGAGAATTCAAAATTCAAGAAGTCTTTTTTTTTTGGGTCCATGTCCAGTAGCCACAATGTTGAATTAGTCACTGTATTCTGTAACTAATTTTTAATTACAACGAAGCTGATTTACAGGTCCTAGTGGCTTCGTTGTAACTTGTATACGAGCGAGATTCCACCTTAGCTCTGAAAAATTGCGTTCAGATACATATACTCCCAATTCAACTGAAGACTGACACACAAAGACACCAATCCCTCTCGCAATACATGCACGCGATCTTGACGAAAAAATTGCAGGAATGGGATTCGTACGTGACTTTCATCAGCGCGATGCTGGACAGCATCAGAAGAACCGGTTTTCCAACAAAAAAGTACCCTTCCTACATTTAAAAATAAAACTCACCCGTCACGCTCGTTAATCGATGCACCGGAATTCGGCACGTTCAGCTTCGCAGTCAACTGCTTCGTCGCAGCTGCAGCAACGTACTGCGCCATGGGGTACAAAAACTGGGCAGCGTAATTCATGTAATACGGATCCATCCCTTGTCCAGTTCCATACGGGTAACCACCAGCTGCTGCAGCGTATCTTCCATAATCTTGACATACAAAAACATAACACATTTTAAAATGGATTGAAATAAAATATAATACAAATCCAAGACACAAACCTGTTTGTTGTTGCACAGCCCGAGCACGATACGGATCATCATAGCGCGGATATCCACTCCTGCTAGCTGGCCTGGATCGGCTGAATGTTCACGCGGTAAAAGAAGCACAGACCAGAGAACCACGAATAAATGTTAGTTTCCCCACAGAAAATTTCAAAGACAGCGCAAATGCAAAGAACCGAAACTAGGATTGCTTTAATGTCTACCCGTTTCATTCGTGTAGGTGAAGTTTGCTATATATATGCTGCTGTGCTCTTCAAACAGAAAATAGGAAACTAAACAAGGAATTTTTGTCAAGGTTACCACACACTCGAGACAGTAATACCAGAATAATCATGAAGATATTAGCGATAGAAAGAGAAAAGCAGACCAACCTGTCCCTAAAATCAAAATCCGGCCAATCGGAATCATAGAGTCTTTGAGAATCTATGTCGTCCCTAAAGGAGTACGTAAGTAGTTTTTCACGACACACCAGCCGGATCAGGAAGCAGACAGCATCCAGCAGCAACAGGCAAAGTTCGATATCGCATAGATGAGCAGGCATAAACCAAACACACCGAAATGAGTAGTGCAAGTTAAGGGTGGACGAAAAAGAAAAACCAAAGCGGAAAAGCATAAAAACCGGGAGAGAAAAACCAAAACAATAACTCATCAATGCACCGTCAACACTTTTCCATTGCATTCCTTTCTCACTTATTTTCACATAGGAAGGCAATGGATGGGCCAAACCAAAACAGACGGAACCGCAAACGAAACCAGCATAATCGAAAACGGAATCCGACCAATACCAAGTGCAGCAATTTGCACGCATGCCTTAGTGGGATCCTGCGCTCAACTATTTTCATTCTTCACACTAACAGCAATTGACTCGAAAGTGGCCACTCCATAATAAAAATACGTGTCACCCCAATATCAACAATATCACATGACGATCTCTTCATTACGGCGTTCTTTAGAAATAACGGATAAATTGACCAATGAATACTCATGAATCATCAAGTTCAAGCCTCCGCAATCCCATTACAAGACTCGCATGATTCGCATTGTACTGTACACTGTTATGCTTTAAATTTTGAGGTCATTATTTCGAATAGGGAATTTATTCAATTAACACTGTCCGCTTCTTGAAGGAGGAAAATAAAGGTTCAAGTATTTTCAAACACAATATGATTTTAACTCGAAAGTCACTTTACGATCATGCGGATATTTTTTATATTCAAGGCCCACATGGCAGAGCAAGAAAGCCTCAAATAAAAATTTTATAAAATTAAGCCGGTGAACCTACACGAACAATTTTCCCACATTCAGAAAATATTAATTTAACCACTTTTTGTAACGAAAAAAACTTCGGGGGAGCGTACGACTGAAGATTAGGTTCAACGCAAAGGAGAACTCCACAGAAAAAAAAGGTGACACAGATTGCTCGTAAATGCAGACCACAAAAAATTATGTTTCAAAACTTCAAAACGCAAAACTGGGTGATTTGAAATCAAGAAACCGTTTTTGATGAACTGTGAAATGAAAGCAACTCTAACCTGTCGTATACGCTCGAATAACCGCGGCTGCGACGACTCCTCGCATCGTCGTCGTCGTCATAACCGTGCCAACGACCTCGACGGTCCCTTTCGTCGTATTCTTCTCTTCCGTATCTGCCGGTTGGGGCAACCGCTGCGGCACTTCGCTTTGCAACCACCATCGCACTGGAGTGACGAGCAGACGGAGTTTCGTACTCACGTCGGTCGTCGTAACGCCGACTACGATCCCATCTATCTGCATTGGAAGACATTGGCGCGGGTCGACGCTCACGAGAGCTTGCTCGTCTTCTCCCTTCCTGGTGACGATCGTAATGACGATTGTGTCGGCTGGATCCTCTGTCGTCTTCGTCAAAGTCTTCGGACGACGGATTGGAGTCGTTGGCGGCACTAGCACCGTCCCTCTGACTGTATGGACAAATGAAAGCAAATGATGTCAACCTGGTTATACTAACGTAGCAATAGAACAAAAAACAGAATGTAACGGATGATACAGTAAGTTAGAAAAACAATAACGACAGGTACCGTAATTACCCGAGTATCACGCGCATCTGGTTTTCTTGTCTTGAACTTTGGATATAATCCTACCCCCGAGTATGACGCCACCCGCACGTTCAATGACTGAAGAGGGCAACATTAGGATAAAAAAAGGTATCAAAATTAAATTTTGACTTGAATTGAACCCATATTGAAATAATTTTTCATGGTTTCCTTTGGGAATCATTCTTAAATGATTTTTATTAAAAATGTCCTAAAAGGATCAACCATCTAAAATTGTCATATTTTGGAAAACTCTATACCCACTCATGACGCACACACTCTTTATTGTACTTTCTTTTGTAAAAAAAATGTGCGCATGGTACTCGTAAATTTGGTAATTTTTGAATAGGACCTAAACTTCCAGAAACACCAGCAGTGAACAAACATGCAACTGAAGTCATCACGTCGACCATAGGGCATTCCATCGAACAAGCTCACGGAATGACTTTTTTGAATACTGTATGCATTTCGAGGTTCTACAGTATTTCTATAAAAATTGGGCATTCACTTTCTGAGCATTGGATGAAACAACCTCACGGCTCCGCCTCATGCAGGAAAATATTAACAAGCCTACAGTATACGTTTCACTATGCACTATTCGCAACGTTTGGCAGAGCAGTGTATCATAACTCACCGTCTTCCGCCACGCCGCCTTCGATCTTCATCCGGATATTCGTCATGATGCCTCCGCGTTCTCCCAGGCTCACCTTTGCCGTATCGATCTCGTTCATCTTTCCTCCTCCTGTCCCTACCCTTTCCTCCGCTAGAATCCACCGCGGAGTTTTCTCCCCCCGTGGGCGTTGTAGTCGGAGGCGTTTCCTTGCCGCTCTCTTCAACTCTAGTTCTTCCGCGTCTCAGTCGATCGTCAGTTTCTGATGAGGTGCCCCCTTCTCCAACACCATGGCTTGCTAGACGTCGAGTGAAATTACGCGGATCTGCACTCGGCGGCGGCTGACGACGAGGATCCACTGCGCCGCCCGGGACAGAGCGATTGACCGGGGATCGGGTTGGAGCAACTGCACCAGTAATCGCGGTCATACCCATGGTTTCCAAGCCATCACTTTCAGATCCGATGGTTTCTTTCCTCGGCGGAGGAGTCGACCTTTCCGGTCCAGGCCCACCGAAACGACCGTCATCATTGCGGTCTCGAACAGGCGGCTGCGAATAAGGACAACATCAGTCTTCACTGAGGCGGCATTCGGAATAACCATCCAGTGCAGATCTTACGTACGCTGTTGAAGACATCTGAATAGCACTTACAATTTTAAATTTTCAAGAAAGGCACGCAACACAACATTTCGAATAAGAATTCGTGCTTCCTCGTTGAAGCCGCAGATTTCCAAAAAGTTTTGAGACGGTACAGCAGCAAAAATGCCTGTTTAGTGAACCTGACCTTTCCCAGTTGAACCTCGATAACGTACCTCCCTAAGTCGAATTTTCCATCAGCTCAAGCATGAATTCCTTCAGAAAGAATGCATGAACATACTCTCTAACTCGAAGGCTTTTCCTCGTAAACCTCTTTAACTCGAATATTCTTCGGCCTTTTAGCAATTATTCTCTCGAAACAGGAAAAAAAAGCAATATAAGTAACGATTGGTTTTGAAAGGAAGTGAAAGACTACTTCGGAAATGAACCCTTGCCTCCAAGTTCGGCATCCATTCAATACATTCAAAAAGCAATTTAAGGCCCAGAATATCAACTATGACAATTTCCTGTAATTCTCCTTTATTTCCCACAACCCTGCGAAGTTCTGAACTGACATGATACCCAAGTCGTTGCTAACCCCCTGTGCATTTGAATCTCCGATACGGGAGGATAACTAGAAAGATGAACCCGGAAGTACGGCGGATCAGCTTGCACGGGAAAAAAATTCTCGTCGAATATCATGGAATTTCGAACCCCTGATTTGACTGAAGTTACGTTTTCCAAAAAGCCTCACGAAGCGAAGTCGCAAAATGACTCACCGGCATCGTAAATCTTGGGGGAACCTGCTGCAAAGTTTGAGGGGGCGGCAACATAAACGAAGCACCACCAGAGCTACCGTCTCCCTCACCGTCGTTGTCACCACTTCCTCCATCAATATCGCCATCATCGCCGCCGTCATCAATTTCTCCAGCGGCTTCTCCGATGGTTTCTTGTCGCACACCCAAACTTGCGGATGAAGAGGAAGAAGAAATGGTTGACGCGGAAGTCCCAGCGGATGGCGGCATTCTTGCACTCGATGGCTGAACCGCCGACGACGAGTACGGCAGTGGATGGGCATCTGCTGGTTGATATCCATCTCCTTCTCGTTCGAAATACGCTGAGCAGTCAGGCACCGAGGATCCTTTCTCAGTTTGAACTCCTTGTTCAGATTCTGGAAGGTGATCATCTTCGGTGCTTACGACGAAGACATTTGGAGTATCAACTGGATCACTGGAAAAACATTGGAGCCTTCATCATTCATTCAATACCAGCTCGAGCGGCTCTTGTCTGCTCTATCAATGATCAAAAAATATGAAATCGAAGAGAGTACGGCCATGGTTCGTAGGTCTCCTGTCTCCGAGAGTTTTCCCATAAACTTATAAAACGCATCTACCGAAGTCTGAACCAACACCAAGAGATTGCTTCGTCCCGCATTAGAATACAAAAGAAGGGGTACACCTATAAACGAATTCTGACTTCAAGATGCGAAGGCACTATAAAATACTTACAAATTCCCTGCGTCAGTCCCGGCAATATTCGCACCATTCACGACCTCTTGCTCATTTCCGTTACCAGGATCAATCGACATTTCCGCACTTCCGATGTCAGCAAAAGCAGAATCAGAAGGTCCATTCACATGAGACAAGACGGTATCACTTTCAGCCGCCGATCCTACGAAGATTATGAATGTTGATCTTCAATTCAGATACATTACCGTTGAAATATTCAATATTGTACGAACCATCCTTCCGAGTCGCATCACCGTCACTAGCAACCAATTCAGCTGCTCCTTCGTCCTGCAGAGAAATAGAACGATTTAGAACACCAAATGAGAAGTAGCCGTCGTTCGTGTTATACCTGGTACAAATCAACGACCCCCGCGGAACCCATGGATTCCATTCCAGTTGCCGGAATGTTCCCGCTATCATCGCAAGCCGGAGGTTGTGAACAGTAGCTTCCCGTGAAGAGGACTTCCTCATTATTAGCGGGAGTGAAACCGCTATAGCTCACAAATGCGGTTGGTATAGACATTTTGTGGTATTCTTGGGTCGGCACGAACGAATGCGGAGTTTCTGTGGGATGCTGCTCGTAAGGAACGGACGTGTCTTCATCACCCCAACCCCAATAATCTCCACCAGGTGTAATGGGGTGCTCGGGGGCATAACTTGGAGGCTGTCGCATAGAAGGAACGAATAATAGTGCGTGAATAAACGATCTCGGAATGAAAGCTGAAATAATAATAAACAAAACTTACTGCTGCCCAATTTTCCGTAAAGCGTCCATCAGTTTCCTGGTGCATGGCATCATCATTTGGATTCAGGTTAAGTTCCTGAAACTGGTGCGCCGCGTGATTGGCTGGAGGTTGAACATAGGATTGATAATTGGGGCCTGTTTTCGAAAACATGTTGCGTGGCTGTTGGGGGTAAACATTCGAAGCCTTGTGCATAGGGGGTGGCGCATTGCTATGATGCAACGCTTCTGAACGTCCTCCGGCTCCTTCATCATTCCCATTCACATTCCAGTCCCATTGGTCATTCCATTCCTATGAAGAATAACACGCTCTTTTTCCAGGACTTCGCCCACCATGAACATCTGGAAACTAACCTGATCCATCTCGTTGATAATCCGGAACAACCAGATACGGCAGAAAGTAAAACGCTTAGAACGTTAATTACACTCGTCCATTTCCGACTAATGACCCAATTTCTCAAAAGTCTTCATTCTACGCGAAGGGTGTAGAAATTGTACGGAAACACAAGATAATAATCACATATCAACAACCTTAAGAGCTTCGACAGACACCGGAATTCCACGAACCTCTCAGCTACTGTCCATGTCCACGTGGTGACGTGTTCAAGCATCGGTGACCCAACTCGGATGTAAGGTCACCGCCATGACATTAGACAGTTGCTACATCTATCAAGAAAACCACAATTCCACTTTCGATACAGTGACATCTGTTGAGTTGCGCTCCAGAAGAATCGAGAGGTCATTTGTACCAGTGAAATTGAAATCTGATGATTTTCTTTATTCGGTACTGTATTTATCAAGTTTTCTGTTCGCACATTTAGCTCTTTGAATCATTTTCGATGCAATGGTGTATTCCACGACACTTGTTTGTCACGACACCTGATTTTCACGATTCTGTAAGCAGAGAACTATTTGGCAATTTATTTCAATCCAAAAACAATTAATTGCACGCCATCAGTCCCTGAGTTGTGTACACTAGTGCATAATTCACTACCATACTGTTCAAATTCTGTACTACAAGTTCAGCACAGCTATACGGGAATTCGCCGTGCTAAAGTACAGTACAGTACAGTTATATGAAGGAGTTCCATATTCAATGTGACAGGTCCTCACTGCACAAATTCCAAGTGCGTCATTAATAATCTTAGATGTCGCATGTTTCGGTAGTCTGTATATAATCCCAGCTTCGTACCCTTCTCCAGAACTGGCAGAGAGCGCGGTTGGGTTGCTATACAGTTATATATCCTTAAAGGTTCATCCGCGCATGACTATGGACCTACACAGTGTATACATCAGTACCTCCCATCATAGACAGCATGCAATGCAAATATGGTGCCGTTTGACATTTTGTCACCATTAGCAATTTATGAGTCCTGGAAAAAAATATTTCGGCAAGTCTGCATCACCAGCAGGATAGCAGAAATATTCGCATCCTAAGTCCTTGAAAGTAAAAAGTTTGCTAAGCATACGCGTATGCATACGCATATTGGAGTGGAAAAGTATTCATTGTCGCATTTCTTACATAGCCCAATTACCCCACCTGAAGACCCGCGGTGCATCTGCTGACTTGTCTCTGCTGCTGTTATCGTTTGTACGTCGTGCTGTGATGGTAGCAACACCTGCATGTACGACGCATGTAGGCGCGCGGTGGGGATAGTGCGGGGCATCCGCCGTGCCTGGGCTGTGCATTGTACGTTAAAGGAAGGTGAGGGGCAGGGGCAGTATAGTAGTACAGTACTGTAATAGGGATCCACACATACAAGAGTAGCGACATCTGTGAAAGCGCATGGAATGCATTCGGGTCGTCCAAGAGTCCCCATCAGGTTTAGCTGAGGAAGGCAAGAGTGGAGAAACTGGAGGCTGGATTTCACTCTGAGCTCGACTTTCAAATCGATTGATCAACTCTACTGTACTTCCTGTCGGTTTTGTTATGGTGTTGTTGAGAAGATCAACGTCATAACCCAAATTACTTGGGTGTGACTGCCGAGTTGAGGTTATTCGGTTCCTGAAAAACCTCAGTGTATCGAAGTGTCTCGAGTATTTATGTCGAACCTCAATCCCATGGAACACCCGTTAACGCGCAAGATCAATGTTCTGTATGATCTGAAGGATTTCACCATGCTATCGAAAAATCCCGTTTTATGACAGCACCATTATTCTAGATCTAAAGCATTGACAGTGGTGAAGGGAAAGTTGATGAGCTGACCGATGAAGTTCACGGTTTTATTCAGGTTGATGAGTTAAGGATGCCGGATCACGGTGTTGTTGTTGAAGTAGAATTCAACAAGGTGTTGGATTTTGATGGCGGTAACCATGAGAGAGTGATGCCTTTGCTTTCTGAGAGAAGTGAATTCATAGCCATGAAAGCGGACATCGAGGAAGCTACAAAAGACTTCGACGAATATGAGAAGTTGCTGGCGCTCTTCAGTACATCCTCCAATGATCAAATACCGCGTAAGTGATCTAACATAGTATGCATAAAAGCTTCAGCTTTCTTGAAAATCGTTTGGCCAACTCTTGTCCTTCCGTTTTTTAAATTTTAATATGAGTTTGTCCATCCATCTAGGTGATGATCTTGAGAAAAAATTGTCAGCATTATCCAACACTCTGAATTTCTTGAAAAACAGTGGCGCTGTGGAGAGGTTCATTGAAAAGTTCAAGTCGGTCACTAGCCGTCCTTTTTTATCTGCAAACCCAAGGTATATCATATATAAATTTCTGCATTATGAATCTTTACTCATTAAACGTTTGATTTCAGTCTTTTACATGCGGATCCTCTTTCCCTCTGGCAGTTGGGGACGATTGGAAGTAAGCCCAGGGTGCAGGTTTGTTGTACTTATTTTTCTGAAGAAAAAGCTGTGCTGTTCATAGGATCAAACTTCTGATAGGTGGTTGAGCAGGCATTGAAGGATGTGTGTCCCACTGCTGGGTATCAGATCAAGACTGTTGAAAAAGAACTGGAAGATTTGGAGAAGGAACTGCGAGATATTGAGCGATGCAGAACGGGCAAATAGTATTACTGTACTCAAGTCTTTTTTTTACAGTCTTGATGTCGAAGGGATGATTTTCTAAAAGCTGTTTTTGAAAGCCATGTGAATTGTTTCCCTTCAAACCGGAAAAAGGTGCTTTTCAGAATGATTCCCATTGAGCGTCGTATTTGAATAATGTTGGGAAAAATAAATTCACTTGAGTATTTCTGTGTAATATGGATCAAGTGTTCAATTGAGAGTGCAAATCCCCGGTGATGTGTTTGGAATTGCTTTTCTGTGATCAACAAATGTGTTCTTAACTGCTTTCTTCTCTATTTACTTTCTTTGCATGATCAGCTGATGAACCATTCAGAAGGATTGCTGTCTCCTTTTATGTTCACACTTTTGCTCTTCATAAAAAACATACACTGTGAAAATCACTAAATCAAAGCTGTAGAAGTTTGGATGCAAGGGTTGTCTCACACTCCCACTTATGCTTGGCCTTGGGTATTTTTAGAGTTGGTACCACTGTGAAAAAATTATATGGTGTAGCCCATGCAATTCCAAGGTTCTGTAATTTTTCAGATTTTTGTTTAAAATTTTCGATTTACTGCATGATGATTGATGAAAACTTTCCAGTTCTGGTGATAGTTCTCCATTTATGTCACAAGCTGTGGAACCTTTTTCAGGCTAGACAAAAAATTGAAAATTCTCTGTTGTTTTGAGCTTGAACTTTCCTATATCAGAAATTATTTTTTTGCAACAATAGTAAACCAAAGTGAATTTTTCCAAGAGCAATGATTCATTTCCTCTTCAAAATCCTCATCCAAGGCCTATTTTTGGCTTGTGATATTTTTTCTTATTGCCTTGAAAGTTCATGAAACTTCCATTTATATTTTTAATTCATTAATTTTTTAACAGGAAGAAAGTATAGGGGTGTGAACAGGGGAACCTGCCCAAATGGGATGAAAATCAGGTGATGGGTGGGGGAAAGGAAAGATTTAAGGGGACTTGGGCAGAGGCCTCCTTGTCCTTCTTTCTGACCTGGAGGGAGAAGATTAAAAAATCAAAATAAAATAGACATTCCATAAATTTTGAGGCAAAGAAAAATATCATGGCCAAAACTTGACCATGAACCATGTTTTTGAAGAGGATATAAAAAATCAGAAGTGAACCCCTGCTCTTGGAAAAATGTAAGATGCACTTAGGTTTTCATTTGAAGCAAACAGAATACTGTTTGATAAAATTTGAAAATTTCAGAATTTGTTGCAAATTTATGCTAAAAAAAACGTATAATTTTCAATTTTGTGTGTGGCCTGAAAAAGTTTCAACAGCTTGTGACATGAATGGAGAACGCACTTGAACAGGAAAGTTTCCAGAAGTCAGGCAGGAAATCTAAAAAACTTGATGAAATTGTGAAAAAATTGAAGAACCTTACAATTGCATGGGCTACATCATATAATTTTTCTACATTGATGCCTAGTCTGAAAATACCCAAGGCCAAACAGAAGTGGGACAACCCTCCTATTCATAAATGTGACTGCTTAAGATCCTTCAAAAGCTGTCAGTTTCAGGTACTGCTCCTCTTCCAAGCTGTTGAATGATGTAACACTTCCAGGTGAACATCCTTTGCTTCGCCATAACAAATCTTGTTTGATGACATCCTTGCGCCCTGTCAATAATCTCCTGTAATTCAGTTTGCTATTTCTATCCAATGCGTAGTGCGTGCAGGGAAGAAGACGGTTTCAACAAGATTCTGGACGAGTGTACTGTTCCTTTGTTTAAGTGACTGTAAGTTCCTATTGGATTGCCGCTTCTTGGTTGACTACCTCAGTCAGGATACAATTCAGATTTTGGGTATGTGGGATACCGTCAAAGAAATCAAAAGCGACGAAATTACAAATCCATTACAGTATTGAATTTCCTTGGATACTTTCAAAGCTTGCCAGAATTTCCTGCCTGAAATCCTTCGATTCAGTGCCCTATTAGATATAATGATAGTGAATTGTTTTCTAATCTTCCAGCAAGTAAATGGCACCTGGCTTTTGTTGCCCAAATACAATTCCAATTGCCATATTCCCTGATCCTCTTTCAAGTTTCTTTGAGCATGTTTCAGATTTTGTTTTGTTGGTTACTGGAAAGTCCATGTTGGTCAATTTTTTTTACTACAGTAAATCTCTTCACAAATTTTTCAACAAGTTTGTTTTCCATGTCCCTGAAAAATGGACACTTTTTGACCCAAAGTTCACAAATTTCTTGGCAACTATTTTTCTGCATTGCTATGCTTATTTTCTGGTCCTAGTGGCTTTTCTATTTTCTGTAAATATACAGTACCTGAACTAAAGATGTGGGCACCATTGGAAAGTTAGATTAAATACAGTTTATTCTCTCTTAGTCAAAGTTCAAAAATTTGACTTAGGGCTGAAAAATTTGACTTGAGGAGGTTTTGACTTAGCAAGGTTTCCATTTAGGGAGGTTTTTAGTAAAGGATGCAAGCATTTTTTGGGAAACAAAGAATTGCAGGAAATTGTAAAGGTTGAAATTCTGGGCCATAGATGTCACTCCTTTTGAAACACATTAAATTACTCGTTATATTGCTTTTCTCTTTCATGCATCAAGAAAACAATAGCAAAAATGCTGCAGAAAATCTGACTTACAGAGGTTTGAGAGAAAAAGACTGAGTTGGGAAGGTTTTCAATGCATTGTTTCTAAGGGAATTTAGATGGGGACATGAAAGAAATTTGACTTTGGGAGTTACAGTATTCAACTTAGAAAGGCTTGAATTATCAAGGTTCAACTGTAGGTTGAATTTAATAGACTTCTGTTGCTTAAAAGCAAGAAATGGTACTGTTCAAGTGTTAATACTCTGTATTTAAAGATATTGGTGCATTGTGAAGCAATTTGAAAGATGTACAAGAAAACAATGCATGACACAGAAATACACTTTAATTTTGAAAACCCTTTCAAAGTACAATTTTTCAAGAGAATGTTACAGGATGCAGAAATAGAATGTCAATGTACACACTTTTTTTTGGCTTCTTTGACATATCACTTCAGAGAAGCCTGTTGACATAAAAAAAAGTCATCTTCCAGTAAATTGTTGCAACATCACAGCATGTCCAAAATGACCTCAATCAGCAAATGCAAGCTAGTGTTCTATGCACTACTCCATTTTCCTGCACTGATAATTAACTCGAATCAAGTGTCGTCCAACGGATGATGCCTTGAGGTGTGAGCAGCCGCAGCTCAGGTGAACACCAACTCCCATTTTCCAGGATTGTCTCGTCTGCATTTGCTTTGCATGTCTCGAGCTCTACCATTTCACATGGTAGAGCTTGTGTAGTAGGCCTGATCGTACAGACTGCTGTATGGATGCGAGTCGAAGTCAAAGCGGAAGGTTTGATCATCATCACTGGAAGCTATGAGCGGGATCACGTAGATGACGTAGAGGAAGATCAGCATGGCGAAGCTGTTTGAGATCATTTGGAACACATCCCTTGTTGGTGGCCTGACCAGCTGTGAAATACAGTGAAATCTCATTACAATAACAAATCTTATGATAAACTGTTTCCCCCGAGTCCCAGAAGGAATACTTGATAGAATACATGCTAAAACAATCTCATTACCAAAAACTTCCTAATATCAGTCTAACAAACTTTTTTGACGAATGTATAATAACTTCTCCAGTGAGAAATATTCTGATGATAACAGGCACAGTTTGAATTGCGACAGACTGGTGCTTATTGTAGCATGAATATGGAAGCTGTAATCAATGATAGACATGCTTCAAGGTGTTTCCAGCACATGATCATCCCAGGATGAAGAGACTTCACACCATCCTCCCAGAATGAAGAGATTGATGCAAGTGATGGAATGCATAATGGAAGCTATTTTTTGGAAGATCACTCAGTTTTTTTAAACAATAATGAAAAAATCTGATCATGCCAGAAAAGTATGATCTCATTGATTATAGGCAGGTTGGACATGGCATTTTCCCCACCTTCATTAATTTTAAAAATCTTGCTACAACAAATTATTCATGATAACAAACTTTTTCTGAAGTCCTCAAAAGTTTGTTAAGAGGAAATTTTACTGTATACCCACAAAACATGATCAATTCAGCAAGCCTTCATAATTTTCAATTTCAAACTGATGGCGGTAAGCAGGTACTCGTCCAGCTCAATCACTTAGGAAATCCCTTTTTCTAGGTGGAACAAAAACCACTTCATGCGTCATTGATGGCGATGTAAGCACCAGGAAATCGGAGTCCGATGGATGTAGAAGGAACTGATTACTTCCAATAATAACCAAGTGCTTTCTTGTAATCAAATTAATTTCTTCCCGTCTGTGTTTTGTAACCCATGCTGAGAAACGCTTGCAGTGATGCCCATCATGGATTGCGTAGAGAAAAACGTTTAAAAATATGATTAAGCGTATTTATGGATATAGGCAATGAAAAATATATACTAATTCATTCTTCGTATCTTTACAATGTATCTGATGGCTGCAAACCATAATATGGCACGTGTGAGCATGAAAAAATATTTATAATTGAATTGATTCAAATTTGAGCCTCATAAATTCAGCATTATGCGTCGTATAGCTACTGCGTATATTTCACAAAATATTGTTCTTATAAGGTCTTCATGATTTCTATGATTCATTTATGATTTCATGACAACAGCGTAATGCCTTATTCACAGAAATTTATACAATAAAATTGTCCAATCCTTTTCACTGTCGGCAAATTCGGTTGAATTCTTGGCCATCAATACTATGTAATGAGCAAGTACTGTATTTAAAATATTAAATCAACGACAGATTATTAAAACAGAATCGGAGTCAACACTGGAAAATAAGGGATTCTTTAAATGAGTAAACCCTGACTCGATAAAAACTATATAAAAACTAGCTGGCCAGGATGACACGTTCATGAACCAAATTTCGTATATATTACAAGCTTATTACCTATTCCTAAAGTAACTCAGACACAGCCTTTTCATCAATGCATCACCACTCAATTAATGAAAGCCAATGAATAGAAGGACCATTGTAATAAAAACCATGTGGAAATCTTGATTGAACCTTGAGAGGGCTGAAAAGCGGCAAATAAAGCGTTCTGTTCATTCATTCATTCATTCAATAAAAACCACAGCATATAAGCCCTCTGAAGATTAAGAAATTACTAAATTTGCACATTTGATCCCCTCCATTGAAAAGATATCTTAGCTGCTGGAACAAAGCTCATAATTTTGGGAGGGGAATTTGAACAGGAAAAGGGATGTTTCTCTATTCACACAAATTGATACTCGAAAACGCATTCAGAAAATTTAGATTATGAATCGAGGCTTTTGAGAGGGAAAACCTGCGAGTTGAAGGAGGATTTCCATGTGTTGTTCTCAAGGGAATTCAGACACGGATTTAATAAAAAACGAATTGACTTGAGGAGGTTTGAGTTATCAAGGTTCAATACTGTACATCCAAAGATGAATTTTGACATGGATTATAGTCAAATTTAATGTTGATTTGTCATATTGTTTCCATTAAAAAGTGTCTGTCATGAAATTGGTTGAAGTTGGAATCAACAATGATGCACACACACCAATGCTCCAAAAAAAATTTGTTTACTACTACAGAGTGGGCCAAAAAATTGAACTCATTTTTGACTTGAAATAGCTTGGTAACATATTGATCTGTGGCAATGAAAAAAGCCCCATTTTTTCATAGTTTTCATTGAAATGGTTCTTGTGACCATTCTGTGGCCCTTGGAACCATGAAACTACCTACCATTCAAAAGAGAATTGAACAAGCTTTCATTCACCATATTTACTTGAGTACCACTTGCCCTCAAGTAAGGCGCGCAGAGGGGATTTTTAGTTGGAAATTTTGCTAAAATCTTATCCCCAAGGAAGACATGGTCCCCAATTTTTAGTGAATCTGAAACCACAAAATTTTGTAAATAAAAACAAAAGATTGACTTTAGGCATGAATTGAACAAAAATCTCATCAATTTTCAACTTTTTCAGTACAAAAACGTTTTCTTGTTACATTTGCTCCAAATTTCTCCATTATAATCAAGTATAATGCACACATAACTTCCTAAAACTTCCTGAAAATTTTGTACCCACTTATGACACACACCCCTTTTTTTCTTCTGAAATTTGGGAAAAAGGTGCACCTGGTACTCGAGTAAATACTGTATTGCAATTTTCATTGCCACACCTCAATTTGTTAACAAGCTATTCCAAGTTGAAAATCGGTTCCTCTTTTGGCCGACCCTTTAATATACACCAGAGTCTATATGACGCCCACCCTCTTTTTCTTATTATTATCCCTCTTGATGAAAGAAAATAAGGTGCGCAATGGTAATCAAGTGTACAGCACTGTACATGTGTACTGTATGCAATGCGGTATACTGGAACCCGGTGTCGCTCTCCTGGTGTTTCGAGAATGCGGAAGTGGCGTGTAATCGAAGCTGACCTTGATGCTGAGCGGGGACGGCAGCCAGGGCATAGACGACGGCGGTCCGTAGACTTCTGAGTCGTTCGGAATGACTTCCTCGTCCAGGAAAAGCTCGTCGGGCGTTGGACACCTGGAAACGGAATTAACCATCAGTGTTTTTTTTCCTTTCATCCAATTATGAAAAAATAATAAATCATTCACAATACAGCAGTAAGACCCCCAAATAAGGCGGACATAATTGGTGCATCAAGAGTGTCCCCAAGTCGAAATGTCCCAAAGTTGAGTCTAGTTTTCCCATAGACTTACATTATATAATTTTTAATTGATGTTTTACGGAGGAAGAAATATTCTTCAGAATTCCATGGAAAAAAATGTGGTTGCTATACTTGAATGTGATTCAGTGAATACATTTTCAACTCAATAGGAACATTTGGAGCATTGAATACTGTATACCTCTGTACAGTACATTGAAATGTTGGCATTTGTAAAAATTACATTTAAGTCACAAAGAGAGAAGGAAGTCCCTTTATGGATATACCTAATTTTTTTAAATTAGCTGAATGGATGGGAAAAATACGAAAGAATTTTCTTGCCTAGATCTTAAGGTCGGAAATATCTGTTTCTTGCAAGTAAGCCTAATAAGTAAATTTTCCTGGCAATTTTCTCATGCAATGTCCGCATGTCAAGTCAACGTCTGTATGTTATTGGGCCTTTGTTATGTCTTTTTCATTGAGAAATAAATGTACCCATGTTGAATTGTCTGTATGTCAAGGTGTCCGCATGCTGGGGTCTCACTGTATTTCCTGAATATGCTGATTTAACAAAACTAAAAAAGAATTGATGATTTTGCTCTTGGAATGACTATGTGAAAAAGTTGTTTCTTATGCTCACATACTCTTTCTCGAATAAGGCAGAAGAACTGAAATAAAAATATAAAATTACTGAAGCACAGTTCCATTTTCATTCATCGGCTAGCACATTATCAACCTGCATTTCTTTCGAAAGTCTTCAAAATGAAATCTTACAAATGGATCGTTCAACTTTTGTCACACAAAAAGGATTTGGCTTTAATGAAATTCTTTCAACTGTCGAATTTTTTTTCATTTACAGAATTAAAAAACCTTTAATTATCACGCAGTAAATCGTGTACCGGTGCAATAAAGGTCTGATTCCACAGTGATGATCTTACACTATTTCTCGCCGATTTTTAAATGAAACATTTGTCATTGCGGAACAATGAAACACGCTCGTGACGATGCACAAAAATGGAAAAATACATTCCGCGGTCCTATTTTCAATCGATGGCTAATTTTATTCTCATTAATCGTTGCTGGCCTTTGTACTGGAATGTTATAAATATGGTTAAAAGCAATTCATTCAAACGGAAATTCATCCGAAATCGCTTCAATCGTTCAATTTCTCAAACCATATTTTAAATTTTAAAAATTAATAATACGCTGCAGCAGTCGCCACACAAAATGAATCAGCCGTGCACGAGTTTCATCAGTAGTTTTGATTTCGAATTAATAATATTCAATTTATTTTTTACTGGTTCCTAGATTACACGCAATTTTGTTCTTTAAAAAAAAACAACGAACTGCGGATCTTGTTTTGAAACGAAAGATACTAAAGGCAACGCGCAAAACGCATGAAATCCGCCATGCCTGATGGCTTCTTTCCGAAATAAACTCTTCCAAGGATGAAGGCCGCCACACTTGGGCATTTCTTCATCTTTTCGAAATTAAGTTTCGGATTAGAATGTATTGCATTTATAATCTATCGCCCTAAAATGCGGAAATACTGTATATCATGCTTGAATAGCTCGCGTTTGGTACTTGCTGTCTTTAAGAAACATGTACGTATAATATACATTAATACAGGTGGACTCATTCTACGCTACAACAATCTTGTCAAGAACGATTTTCTCTGTATAAAAAATTCTTCTTGGGTCGATCCCACAGGGTTCTCTCTGCGTATGTTACACGGGTTCTCTACAATGAAATTCTCTCTAAAACGAATTTTTATCTGGACCCTCGAAATTCGTAGTAGACCCACCTGTTTAAAGGTACTGTGGTTCCCAAAATTATGCAGATGAAAAAACTTCTTGAACTGTTTCCATGTGTTGGAATTTCTGCATGTCAGATAATTTCCCCTAGAATTGAATTAAAAAAAATTTAATCATTTTTCATGTTTTCAAAAATGGGAAAAAAGTTCTCCAAAAAATTCCACTTATTGTTTTCCTCTAATTCAAGACGCAGAAAATAACTGTGCAGAAGAAAACCAAGCAAAATCTGCCTTTTTGGAGTGAAACTAATTCCAAAAGGCAATTAAATGAGCACGCATTTTCGTATACACTACTACGAGGGGTCTAACGAAAGTTTTTGGAATAGAAAGTAAAATGGCATATAATTGAGCTGAAAAAATTTATTCTTTTGGGAAAACATATTCTTTGGTACTAAATTTTTTGCAGCTCAATTAGATGCCATGTTAATTTATATTCCGAGAACTTTTGTTAGACCCCTCGTACATACGTAATTGATGGAATCCCCCCCCCCCAAAGAAAAGGAAAACACGCAAAATTAGCCAGAAATGAAAATTGAATCAAAGAACATTCATACTATATATTGCAAAATTGTTTCCATAGGATTGCAGCAGCTCAATTCTTAAAAGAAATGTAAAATTTTCTTCTTCATGAATTTTATTTTTAAATTTTTTTTAAAATTGTTTATGACATTTTCACAATGTCTGTGGAGATTTTTTGAGTTTGGAGAGTGGAAACGTTGAATCATCTGTATGTTCGGGTGTCCATATGTTGGGGCCCTGGTGAACATGACTATTTAACATAATTTAAGCCATTGATTTTTGTTTTGTTTCCACAACATATCCATTTGCAGAGGGGCGGGGGGGGGGGGGAAGACGATCAATGCCAACAATTTGAAAAATGAAGTTTGGTTCACGTTTTCTCAAAAGTTTGTCTTTGAATTTTGGACACAGTTTAAATAGACAGACGGACTCCAGAACTGGATTCACTAAAGCTAACCGTATTGTTTGAAATTTAAAGTGAAATCTAGTGAAATTCAAGCGAGATGGTTCAACAAATAGTGAAAAATCCCGCTTTCAAACGAAAAATATTGAAAAAAGTGTGAACTAAATGGAGCGAGTCTTGATGGAAACATAAATCGGCGAAAGAACAACAAATAATAACCCGAATTACCCGTGGTTCACTTTCAAACAACGGCCAATTTCACTTTCATTTCTTTGGAAAATAATTTGGTTAAATAAATGTAGTTTAGTTTAAAATCATCCTAACACAAGAATGTATGGCACAAATAAATTTCAAGTTACTCAGCTCCCAGCCGATTAATTTTTGATACAAAATACAAATCAACTGCCCGGGTTTTCTGATTTCATCCGAATTCAATTCTTAGTACTTTTAGTTTTGACGCAGTACTCGATCAGTACTTATATAATAGAAAGTGGAGCAGTTCAGATCGTCAGCTCGTTGAAAAGAATCGCCTGGATGCCTTTCAGTCTTTTTCTTTTCTTTTTGTTGCTGAAACAATTTTCAGACCACAAATGATGGGGTAAATTGATGAATATCCTGCCACAACACTTCGTCACTCAGTCAGTACTGTATTAACAACAGTCTCAGAGCAACAGGGAACTCCAAAACTCTACTCAAATTTCTAATAACTACCAGATTGTTCTTTCAAATTATGTTGAGGACCCAAATCACCCCTCAATTAATTGAGGCACTCACCTAATTTCCAGAGAAAGTAAATCAAGTGGAAAACCACCCAAGTAGAAAAAGTCCAGTGAAAACCCAGCAAATGCTTTTCCCCTCCCCCAAATTTTGAGTGCCTTGGCACCAAGACATCTTCAACTTGACATTTTTGAGCCAATCACAGGCCTTCATCTTCACCCCATCCTTAAGGCATCATGGAAAACAAAAATGCATATTTTTTCCCATGGCATAGCCATTGGTGACTGCCTTCTTGTGGTAAACTCGGGTGACTTGAATAAAAACGAAACACTGCTGTACAAGAAATGAGGATAATTCAAGAAATTCTTGAAGTACAGTATCTGATGTTGTAAACAAACGGCTAATTTTTTTTGGGTAAGTCAAAACTTGGGTGAGTCAAAAACAAACAAAGAGGAATGTTCTAGAATCTGTAGAACCTTTTCAAAAATCAGATAATCTACAAATATTTAGCAGAAATGCCCAGTTTCATTGTTATTCAATTGAATGATTTGTAAACAAGCAATGAATGAATGAACAGAACACTTTATTTGCCGCTTTTCAGCGTTCACAAAGTTCAATCAACATTCCCACATCCAAACCCAACCCAAATCCATTCATGAATGATTTGTAAACAATCAAAATATATAAAAGTACAGTATATGGATAGTATGAAGATTAATTCAATGAAGAGACCCTTTCTGAAATCATAGAGGATCAAGATAAACTGTTGGCCTTATATGGTTTCTCATCAAAGATTCTCTAAATTGTTCATTCAACTATACCTTATCTGGGATAATAGGCTGAAGACCTTGTGCTTTAAATTGGGTTTAGCAACTGCTGCAATTGCTATAATTCAGGCTTAGGCTGAAATTATTGTCACTGATATTTTGTTTTCAATGTCAGCAGGGAAAGAAGGGGGTGTACGTATACACATCAGTTGTGCAGTTGTACACTGTGGAATGCAAATTTCTTTAATTTTGGTATCCATTTGCAGCTTTTCTCTCTGTTTCCCATTCTGAAGTGATTGCATGCCATTGAATGGATTTGGGTTGGGTTTGGATGTGGGAATGTTGATTGAACTTTGTGAATGCTGAAAAGCAGAAAATAAAGCTTTCTGTTCATTCATTCATATAAAAGTATATAACAGATATGTGCAAAAATCAGACACTCTGATGCAGAATCATGAAACATCTCCGGAATGCGATCAAGTGATTTGAGTTGGTGAGTGACCGTTTATTGAAACATATCCCCGTTTTATTTTTTTTTTATCTACAACCTCTGGTCCAATCTCTTCCTTTCTTCCTTTCCTTCAAAGAATAATATTTCCGTAATAAGCATTAACGACCAAGGGTTCCATTATTCTCCTTCGTTTCTGGCACGCGTTGCTTCCATCACTCGGAAGAGACCA